TCTGCATTGATATTCAAATTAACATTGTTGCTTTTCATTATAAAATATTACTCGTTCTTTCCAGTACACATACTGTATAATATTACCAGAGGATGTCTTGTCTGTTAGCTTTCCTGATATTAATCAATAGCATGAAAATGAACGCACAGTTTGAGATGGGTTTATTCAGGCCGGGACGGCAGTGCAGACACAGGTGATGGGCATCTTTCCACTGTTTGACTGAAGCGATGGGGAAGGAATTTAATTACAGCAATGTTCACAGTGGAGAAAAGAGTTGTCGGCATTGGAAAAGTGATGAGAGACAGACAGAAGAGGGATTTAGAGCATATGTTTGACCAAAAATAAGCACAGGTAGCAGTTGCAATCAAGAGCTGTCGTGCTTTCATGTGCAGAAATGCTAGTTTTACTCTCCGCTGATTGTTGAAGCTTCTTTGCATAAAAATATGCAGAAATCATATTCATGTGTATACAGGCTTTAAGATTGACAAACTGGCTCATATGTTATGAAATGTTTGTTGATAGGTAATATATTCTGAGGGACATTTTCAATTTATACCAACATCAGTCAGTACCTACATCAAAATGGTTGTTTTATGGTGTTTGTGCATATTGTCCCTAAAGCTGCATAATGAGTCATATAAAGCTTTAATGAGCCTTTCAACGGGTTTTGTTTTCCCCTGATCTTTTTTACATGTTGTTATGTATGTTTTAATGGATAATGAACAAATATGTTTCATTATCCTGATTGGATATTGTAGGACAGGTTAAGCAAACAAAACGATCGTTCCACTTAAAGGGATAGTTCATTACTATGCATGTATGACTTAATGATACGTACAGTGCTCATTCAGTAAATGCACAGCTAAGCAGAAGTGTTTTGAGTCTGGATTTGAATGTGACTACTGTAGGAGCACTGGTTCCAGCTGCGGCTGGCATAATAATAGCTAAAGGCGGAACCCTTGGTATTTCTAGCTGATGTGATCCTAATGATCTGAGTGATCTGTTTATATTCAGTGAGCATATCTGCAATATATTGAGGTCCCAGGCCCCAGCCCATTGAATGATTTGACAATCCTAAATATAACTGGGAGCCAGTCCAACCCGGTATCACGACAAGACGTGAAATAATCACGTTGGTCCACTTTGGAAAACGTGTAGATGTCACGGTTTAACCCCCTCAAACGTGAAACTTACACGTTTGCGTTGACCTATTCTACACGCAATCGCCTCTTCCATAACGACCTATTGGTTTTCATTAAACCGAGAAAAATGGAATTTTGTTTAATTGACGATCACTGAGAAATGTTCTATTATATAAAATGCAAAAAAAAAAAAAAAAAAAAAAAAAACATTTATTATTTTCAAGGTGAAAAGGATTCATTTGCCTTGATCCACGCCGAAAACAACGTCTAAATGTCACGTTTTTATAATGGGTAAAACGTCTATTTTTCGGTTAACGCGGCTTAACGTCGATGCAATACGTTGTTTTAGCGTACCTATTGCTTTAACGAGGAGCCGGGGGATGCCGGAAAAATAGACGTTTACTCATTAGGCTACTTCATTAAAAACGTGACGGTTTTTTTTTTTTCGGCGAGGATCAATGCAAATTAATCCTTTTCTCCTTGCATTTTAAATAATACAACATTTCTCAGTGATCGTCAATTTGATGTGATCGTTTGAGGGGGTTAAACCGTCACATCTAGCCTACACGTTTTCCAAAGTGGACCAACGTGATTATTTCACGTCTTGTCGTGATACCGGGTTGAAAGATCGACGGGTCATATAAACAGATCAGATTGCGTTTTAAGACATTATTACTCCTCTATTGAATCCAATTTTTTCCACATGATATATGTCCTCTCTGTGAGAATGCTTGTCAGATCTCTTCACACAACAAAACTATAATTAGATTATTTAACAGCCAATTGTGTCTGAGACATGCAAACATAATAATGTAATCAGAACTTGAACATGGTCTCCGCCACAACCAATTTTTCCTCATCAGAAACATGCATTTGCCAGAGCGTCACACATTTATTAGAAAATTAAGCATCGCTGCACACACGAGGAAATCCATTTTGAAAATGAACCTAGGCTGGTAATTGATTCCAAAGCAGCCACTGAAAGACTAATACCCGAGTAAAACCCGCATGTTTTGGTATGGAAAAGGAATGGATCAATAGTTTTAGAGGGGTTGTGTTTGTTAGAGAGAGAAGCAGTGGAGGGCAGTGCTGCTCTATCCCTGATACAGAAATTTACAGTGGACTGGCAAAGCTCTGTGCTTTCTCATGTTTCATCTGCAACCTCGTGAAATGGTACTTTTGGAAAATGAGCTACACCACAAGGGATTCGGCATGACAATAGACCTTCTCAGAAGTTAAAGTGCTCTTATTCAGAATGTCTGTTTTTTTTTTTTTTACTCTATCATTTGGAACATTTCTGGTGAATTTGCTAATGATCACGTCTCCATTCCTCCAGATGGGCGCGGACAGCATGTTGATATTTTTATCATATTTATTTCAAAGCTGTTCAGTTTTCTGCGTCGGCCGAGGATGACAGATCTCATTGCTGTCTGCAGCATCTCCGTTCAGTTGAGTTGAAATCACTGTTTGGTTTTCTCTGTTTACTCCACGGGAGCCTTTGCCGGATCTGTTGTCTTTTCACAGATGTTTACTTGGATAGATAGGACAAAGCACAACCAACTAATAATGCTAATTGCTTCCATCTGCTCCCCTGCAGCTGTCAATAGCCATTTTAGTCAATTCTAGGAATTAGTCCACCATCGTTCACCCTGCATTCTTATTAGCTGGCCTACACTGTATCTGCTGCTGGAAATAATTCTTCCGGAACTTTCCGGAATCACCCGATTTAGAGGAAACCGATCTCGTAGATTGGAACATCAGCACTAGATTTTACATTACAAAAAAAAAAAAAAAGAACCATTATAAGAACCAGTCAGACTGCCTTGCTTTTGCGATGACCTTGTGCTCAAGGCTAAAAGGCAAGAAATCACTCAACAAGGGCCGACGCTTTTAGCACCTGTTGTGAGGTGACATTTTTGTGAAGAGGTTTTAAAATCGTCATCTCGCTCTAACCTTCCTCTAAGAGAGCCCAGAGACAAACGCTGAAAGGTCAGGGGGAAACGTACTGGAGTTGTGGAGGGGAACGGTTTCTCGTTAACTGAGAGAAGCGATACAGTGCAATGAGATGAAATGTAATAATAAATGTGGCAATTGAGCCCTCTGGCACCGAGGGACGGGTGGAGGTTAAAGCCTGTGTCTTTGTTTTTCTGCAAGATGACGGTTGTAAAAAAATGCTCTAGTGTTATCGAAAAAGGAAAAGAAATAGTAAAGGTCTGGTTGAGAGGGGTGGACATGCAGGTTGAGACCATATCCAATCAGATTAGAGATTGGTGCACATACTGTAACTCCAGTCATTTCCAGAAGTCACTTGGGTGTTTTCATAGTATACCAGTGAGCTTCTGTTCCTTCATAAACTAGATTTGGTTTAGTTGGAATAGTTTTTGTGGCGTTGTGGAAGCAGGCACTGCTGAGCTCTTTTACCACAATTTCTGTTTCCATGGGAGCAGTGACTTCTCTGACTTCTCCATTGATCAAAGCAAGGTAGACACACACAATAAAAGACAATAAAAGACTCGATCTGTTTCATAATAAAGTTTATTCTATATTACAAATAGTATTTTGTTCTTGACTGCAAAATAGGAATGCATTATATTTACATACACAGGTATACAATTAATTATAACAAAGTTAGAGAAGCTTGCCTTTCCGCTGGTCTCTCTCTTTTTCTCCGCCCATCAGGATAACTCTCTATCTTGCATCAAGTCTGGAAATATCCGAACAGGTCTCTAACGCCTGTTGTAACACTGAGCTAAAAGGACTTTTTAGTTCTTACAAAATGTTTAAGGTGGAAACTTTATCAGGTATTTTGGACATAAGGAATGGGGGTTTTCCTGTTAAACGTACATGAGAGATGGAACATGATATACAGGATCAGAGTCATGAGGGAATCCAGGAACATTTCAGTTTTGCAAAAAATTTGGATCATTTACGTAAGACCTCTGTGGACTTAATAAATGAGTTCCCTGAAGAAATAATGAAACATCTTACACTGTCAATTTCTAAAATCCTTTGCAAGTTTGCTTATTTATTAGATTTTCTTAAAAAAAGAAGTAATACCTAACACGACGACAGTGGTATTTTATTATTTATCTCATTAGAATCATTAGCTGGGGGTAGCTGTGTACCTGAAATACCTCAACACAATCCTCTGTTACTAAGCTATGCTGAAAAAAATTACTCGAGGGAGCCCAAAGCAATCACATATACAGAGACAATATCCAAAATAACATTAAAAAATAATTTGGTGGAACGCTAATGGAATCCTGAACACATTAGGTTGCCTCAAAATGATATATGGACAGCAATGGAGAAGTACAAATGAACACATTCAGGGAATCAACTCTTTAGAGTTGCACATTAAAGACGACAACAAATGTAATGTGTTGTGATGATCCCTAAATAGCATGTTAGGTGTGATTAGACTGGCATGTGATGACGTGTTCACATTTGATCTCTCAGATGGACTGCCTTCAAGAAAGGCAATGCACCTGACAAGAAGAGCAAAGGAGTCTGATGAAAGTCGAACAAGAGTTTGGTTTGGTTTAGAAATTCCTAGTAGTATTAGATAAATTGATAGCAAGGCAGTTCATTTCATATCATCCAAATAGATCAGCATGCAAGGGTATATACTATATCTGCTTAAGGTATCACCTTAGTCTTATTAGCATCTAACACATTCACAAAACATGGTCATGGCAGTTGAATGAAAGGGCAGGATAAAGGTTCCACCTTAACAGAGGTTGCAATTTTGAAGATGACAGCCCCATCTCGTTTTTTTCCATCTCGTTCTTCCAAGCAAAAGAAAGAAAAAGAACACGTCCACATCATCAATTGCAAGGCTTATTTTTTTCTGTTTTCCTTTTTTCCTTTTTTTTTTTTACGTTTAAATTGAAATACATGCGCTGAAAAAGCCAATAAAGCACCCAAGGCGGACCTGGGCTGATTCTCCACACATTCACATCACCACATAGGGTACGCTGTCAAGAGGAAAGAGGGGGTCAGAGGACAGAGGAAAGGAGGGCAGCTAAATCGTCTCTTTCCCTTTGTCAAAGTTACATCCAATACTTTTTAGGCCTAGGTTGGATTCATATCTCAAGACTTAAACTGCAGCAAGCCCTTAAACCACAAATCAGGACAGAAACAAATATGAGGCTGCAGACAGAGTGTTAGCTTCGTTCTGCAGGTCATAAAACAAACAGTGCCTTGTGTTTGCTTTCTCAGGGGTCATTTATTTTTTTTAAATTGGGCTCCTTTGGTTTTCTGCTGACCAGCTTTGTCCACATGTGGGTTTTTCTAGAGGCTTCCAGAGTGTTCGTTATGGGTGGGACCCTGCACGTGGCTGCACGTGTGCACTTTCGACGATTTCCCCCCCTTTGACAGCTAATTCTGAGTAGGATATTTTGTAATTAAAGTCCCCCTACTGGATGTGTGAACTGAGACACCTATTGAACGTGTGCTTTTTTTGTTGTCAGGATTACTTTGTCCTCTTGCAGCACAGCGTAGGTCCTGGCGACTTCGCTGGAGTACAGAGAGAAGGCGTCACTCTCTGAAAGAGGTGTGTGAGTGTGTGCTTGCTTCTAAGGGGATCAAACCTTGGCTTTTTCTCCAATCATCTAGATAAGAGAGGTTAAATTCAGATGTGCACAAGCCGGATAAATGCCGAAATGAAGGCTGGGGGTGAAGTGGTGAAGATGTGGGTATACCACAAGATGACAGGTCTTGTCTTTCAGTTTCACTGTCAAGTAAGGTCCTGGAAGAGACAAAATAATCGAAGCACTAACTTGTTGCATCCCGCGACACTCCGAGGATATTAAATAGATCGTGGTTGGATCTCCAGGCTTGGTTGTTCTCTTGTCAAAGCATTTAAATGATCTTGCATGTCCCATAAATCCACGGTCCTCAGGGTGTTTGTGTCTTTTGAAATGGCCTGACCGGTCTGCATTCTTCAGATGCATGCAGTACCAATTTTTTTAATCTTGCGTTTCAGTGTTTAATAAAGGTACTACAATGAATTGGACTCTATATTAGTGCCGTACACTACCCTAGTCATAAAAGTCAGAACAAATTGACACCAAACGTTGTGGTTTCTGCTTATCAGCTAAACTTTGAAGGCAACAGAAATGTTTTTTTTTTTTTTTTTTCCAGTCAGGAAGAAGGATGGAGGATGCAGTGAAGAGGAACTTGTAGGCAGCCACCCCTCTACACAGCAGAGCCAGGTGGCTACCCAGTCTACTGCATTATGGGTAATGTAGTCCTTGGCTCCTCCGTCCACCCTCTAGTTCCCATCTCTACTCTTCTAGGAAGCAGAGCTAATATGATGCAAACGCTTGTTTTTGTGGGAAGATTGCAAAAAGAAGAGATGAGATAGATGGACAGGTCTTCACTCAGGCACGGCTCGGTTTCTGTTGGATCTCCCAGTGCACTCTGGGAAATGTGGTCCTCAGCTCTCCAGGCTCATGAAGGCGACCACCTGCTCCAGTTTATAGGCCAGTCTTTGTTTTCTGGCGCCATCATCCTGTTCCAGTGCAGACACAATCTGGCACAGAGAGATGAGACGTCAGTTACACATGCCTACAAATAACTACATATTTGCACTTTCCACTTTCATTTACTTAAATACTACACATTTAATGGACAGTTAACAATTACATTTCACAAAAAGAGATTAAAGAATTAAATAAAAAGTACTCTTACAAAAATATCAATTTTAAAGGGTTAGAAATTCTTTCAGTATGTACTCGTTCATCTTCGGAACACAAATTAAGATATTTTTGATGGAATCTGAGAGCTGGATCACCCCTGCATACTGTTAGTCCATAGGCTTCTTGAGGGATTGAAAATTGCTGGCCTTGAAAAGTTATTAAAGACATCGTTAAAATAGTCCAAGTGACTTCAGTGGCTCAATCTTAACTTTCTCTCTGCCTCGAGTCAGGTTAGTTTAATAACGTAAGCTTCTGTTATTGTACGTCACAAGCATCACACACATGAGCAGCGTCGGCCAATAGTGAGCGCACGTGTGACGTGGCTCTACGCTATCACACTACGTTTACTGACTAGAGGCGTATAGAGAACTTTACTTTTTGTGCGCAAAAACAAATAAAAATGTTCTTGTCGCTTGATAAAGTTAAGATTGAGCCACTGTAGTCACTTGGGCTATTTTAACAATGTCTTTAATAACTTTTCGAGGCTGTCAAGTTTCAATCCCTGAAGAAGCCTATGGACTAGCATGGAGTGATCCAGCTCTCATATTTCATCAAAAATATCTTAATTTGTGTTTCGAAGATGAACAAAGGTCTTACGGGGTTGAAACAACATGAGGGTGAGTAAATACTGACAGAATTTTCATTTTTGGGTGAACTAACCCTTTAAGTTCACGCTACACTCAGAACGTGGTGATTTAATAACATTTGGAAAAACATTTGGAAGTGTTCTCTACCTCTTCTGTATATTTGCCCACATAAGAATAAATCTCGCTGAGGGAGCTCATGGTGTTGAACTCATTCATGTGCATGCGAGACTGCTCTGCCAGATATGCGTTCATATCCTGGTCACTGATAGCAGACATCTTACTAATGTCGGAGTAATATCTGTAAAAAAAAGGCAGAGAAACAGAAATAGCACATTTTTTTTTAACGAATGCTTAGAAAATGGACAGGTGACAGGGCTTGATGCAGTCTTTTATATATATATATTTTTTTCCATCATTTATTTATCAGGGACAATGATGAGAGACATATTCAAAAGACCATCTCTACCCATAATATATATATATATTAAATGCACTGATGCTGACACAGCTGGTTCTCAAGAATGTATTTCTTTAAGTTTTGAGAAAAATGGTTCACATCTTCAGATTAAACTGTTGGGGAGTTGATTCCATTGTTTTATAATTTTAAATGAATAAGCTGTCTGTGCAAAGGCGGAGGATCTTTTCGGGATTTTTGTGAACCGTCGATCGAGATGTTAGAGAGATCCATGTTGAATAACATATTTCAGGGTCACTTCTGGCACTGACTAAGAGCTGTCTTGCCCCTTACAATCAGTTCCGCATTTACTTTCTGTGGCAGTACAGCTGCGGCTTACATCAGCGAGTGACTGTGAGTCTTAATGAGCCACTGTCCTTGAAAGTTTTCCAGAGATCAGCAGATTCTATAGGATGCTGGAAATGTTCAATAAATGTGCCCCACGCATATGCTGGCACTAAACACACTCTAGCACATCCAAAAAAAAAAAAATGCACACGTATATAAAAGCCCACACTTAGTGTAGACACAAGCACTGTTCCAAAACCACTACCTACATAGACACCAGCCTTTTATGGCAGTTTCCATCATGGAACCTTATACTGTATGTAATTTGGAAAACTCTACTTAGGCAGTCATTTTTTGCATCACAACTTGCAATGGACTTTGATGTAAGCATGTTGCTAAGCTAATGTTGTGATACGCATAATAAGACTAAAACACATAGCACACAAAAAAATACAAACATTTATATCCAGAATTTTATTTGTGAATGAAATATGTTAATTATAATCCATATTTCCAGCCCGTTCTCATCCTTTAATGTCATATAGAACGCTATATGCAAAAATGGCGCTATACTACGCACATGGCTCCCTTTATCGTTAATATAACACGTGAACCCAAGACGTCATAAATCCTTTAGCGTGAATATGACACGCAGACCCTACCCCACACCTAAATTTAGCCCTCACAGCGCGTGTTATATTAACAAGAACGGGTGCCATGTGCGTAGTATAGCGCCGCTTTTGCATATAGCGTTCTATATGTCGTTAAAGGATGAGAATGCGTTGATATTTCTCTCGCTTCATTTACCAACTTGTATTTTTTTCTCTCATCAATGCATTCTGGGATTGCCTTTCCATGAAGGATACATGTGATGCTATGGGGTATCTTATGAGGCAGTATAATTAACATGCCTATCTTTTGGAACAGCCTCCGTGCTTGGTGAGTACCCACGATACCTTAAAATGCTGTCACTGCAGGCAGCTCACTAGGTTTTGGAACGATGCAACACTGTCTGTTGTCTTTGGGTGGCTGATGCATGTGAGTGAGTGAAAGAGTATTGGTGGAGGAAAAGCAATCAGTCACTGTCACCTGCAGCTGCAGAGGCTCTGTCGACTCTTTAATTAAAGCAGGACATTTACATTTTTAATTCCTGCACCATGCCAGCTCTTGGACTCAACACATTCATTGACTAACCAGTGGCATACGTGTCTGTTTCAGGCTCCCGTGAGCACCTTGAGTGGCAGGTATGTGCTGCAATGCACCATTGGGCATCAGTGTTGGAGAATGGCACAGTGTTGAACGAGAGAGATAGAGAGAGGGGTTATAATCTCCAAGTATGCCTTTCCCAAAGGAATCTGTTCTCCAGTGACGGGTACACTCCATAGATGAGTTCACACATTTAAGTTTAGCTCTGCGTCCGCTGCATCCCAAGACTAATGACTGGCAGCTCGCCTGGCACTAATTAATACCACATTTAAATGTCAGCTGTTCGTCAACCACAACAAGCCCATGCTGGTTATTCCCTCGTATCGTGTCTGTATTACAAATGGCTAAATGCAGAGTTGCTACACTTTCTGACCAATGAATGACCATTATTGCTGTAATGTCATGCTGTAATGTCATTGCATAACATTACAGCAATAATGTAGAACTGGACATGGCACAATTGTATATAATTTTATATAAAATTATATATAATTTTGCTCATACACACACACACACACACACACACACACACACACACATATATATATATATATATATATATATATATATATATGAAGAGTTCAGATGCAAAAGCCTCTAAGTGCCATTTGAAATTTTCTTCTAAAATGATCATTTTTATCAAGCTTGTATATTTAAGTTCAGTAATTTCACTTAAATGGCATTGAAGATTACCTATTAATTGTCATTTAAGTGAAATTACTGAACTTAAATATACAAGCTTGATAAAAATGGTCATTTTAGAAGAAAATTTCAAATGGCATTTAGAGGCTTTTGCATCTGAACTCTTCATATATACGCACACACATTTATACATACAGTATACATACATACATATATAACCCATCCACCTCACAGGTGTGGCATATCAAGATGCCGATTAGACAGAATGATTATTGCACAGGTGTGCCTTAGGCTGGGCAACAAAATGGCCACTCTAAAATGTGCAGTTTTACTGTATTCGGGGGACCAGCTTCAACGGCTGTGCGAAGTTGCAGGATATTGGCAGGTCCTGGAACACGCTGTCGTATATGCCGATCCAGAGTATCCCAAGCATGCTCAATGGGTGACATGTCGGGTGAGTATGCTGGTCATGCAAGAATTGGGGTGTTTTCAGCTTCCAGGTATTGTGTACCGATCCTTGCAACATGGGGCTGTGGATTATCATGCTGCCAAATGGTCTTGGATGAATGGCACAACAATGGGCCTCAGGATCTCGTCACAGTTTCTCTGTTTTAAAAATGCCATCAATAAAATTCAAGTTCATTTTCATAACATAAGCCTGCCCTTACCATAACCCCACCTCCACCATGGGCCACTCGATCCACAACTTTACATCAGCAAACCACTCATCCACACAACGCCATACACGCTGTCTGCAATCTTCCCTCTACAGTGAAAACCGGGATTCATCCGTGAAGAGAACGCTTCTCCAAAGTGCCATTGAATGTGAGCATTTGCCCACTCAAGTCGGTTACGATGACAAACTGCAGTCAGGCCGAGACCCGATGAGGAAGATGAGCATGCAGATGAGCTTCCCATGAGACGGTTTGACAATTTGTGCAGAAATTCTTTGGTCTGCGGTTGTGAGGCCGGTTGGATGTATTGCCAAATTCTCTGAAGTGCCTTTGGAGACTGCTTATAGTAGAGAAATGAACATTCAATTCACAGGCAGCTCTGGTGGACATTCCTGCAGTCAGCATGAATGAATGCTCTGGACTGGCGTATACGACTGCGTGTTCCAGGTCCTGCTAATATCTTCGCACAGCCATTTGAAGAGGAGTGGACCACCAGTTCCTAACTCGGAACTAAGAATGTATCATTGAGCGTACATTACCTGGTTTAAACACATAGATGTCAGCACCTTTAATTAAAGTAGGCTTTTCTCACCTCGACAGGTATGTTTTAGCATGATCTCAGTCCTTAAAGATGTGTAACACATTATCTAATGCATGTAAATGAGCCTTCTCCCCATCTCAGCTCTTTTGTAGTGAATGTGAGCTGGCAGTGTGATTACGGTCCTATCATTTCCCCATCACACTCATCTGCCAGCCACCTATCTCCGACAGAAGCTTCTAATATCTCACAGCAAATAAACGCCCTAGTCAGAGGCTGCGTGGGCAAGGACACATGGCGCTGATGAGTTTTTATTTGTGCTGTTTGTTTACCGTACAGTACAGGGCTTCGAACCGGTTCAAGGCCTGAAAACAAAAACGGCAACGAATAAAATTTGAACAGAAAACTAAATCGCTTAAACGTTCTGAAGAAGTGCTTATTTGAAATTACCATTAAACGATTAATACATTTGTTGTATCGTCCTGTTTAAGATTTTAATTAGGCAGTCAACCAATCATGAATTCTAATAGTAGGGCCTATATTCAAATGTGACGTTGACTCATCCAAAGATAAGTGAAATACCCCTGCTTAGTTGTCAAAGTCATCCTAAGTCGCAAGGCAATGTGCTGGTATTAGCTGTTGGATCGCAGAAGTTCGTCTGAGGCAGGGGCGCAACTACCCAGTTTCAGAGGGGTATGCAGCAACAATTTTAGCGCCCCCCCCATATTATTAAAATAAAATAAATGTAATGTAAGTGTGCTATGTAATAACTGAGTAGGAAGAAATGAGAGCTAACAGAAAAAAATCAGTGCAAAATTGTCGTTTATTAACACAATTAAACTATAGCTACTCCACCATGATGAACCCCCCCTAAGAAAACTATAAGCTCCATTGTAACAGCAATAGCAGTGTTTCTCACAGGATTTTAGGTAAAACTGTGGTAGGTGGACCTCTGTTTCTCTAGGGGGGTTCGGGGGCATGCTCCCCCATAAGAAAATTTTGTGTTCTGTAATGTTAAATTCAGCAGTCTGGTGCACTTTGAGAGTTCAAAATTAAAAGCTCCAACCCATATTCAGGGTGCAAATTAAACAGAGAAAAATTTGAACCTCTTTTAGTTAGTGTCTGTACCTACATTACACTACCACATAATAATAGTTATAATATTAATCCCATGATATAATTGCCATTAAGGCTATTGTAAAACAAATGCACAGAAAAATAAAGGAAACTTTCATAATTAGTTTTGCACTAATTTCTATACTTGAAAGATACTTGCGCATAATGACATATTTCATGGGCCAGTGTCAGAAAAAAAAACTAAAGCTGACTTTTTTGACCAATACATTACACCAGCACAGCGCCGCCAATTAAGCAAAAAACAAAACAAAAACAAACAACAAACAAACAAATGGGCCGCCGATGTATGAGTTTTGTGGGCCGTTAAGACAAATAAATTAAAAAAGGAAAAGCACGTCGGCCCAGCGGGAATCTCCCGGTAGTCCCGATGGCCACCGAGATATAGATAGCCTATGCCTGGATGTCACATTTTAAATCCTACCTGTTGGCTTTCAGCAATGCATGCAGTTATTTAGCTGCTGTTGCATCAATTGACATGCCATCTCCTTTTCTCTCTTTCTTTTTCTATTTTTAGCCCCACAGCATTTTGTTTTATCCATCTTTTTCGACGACAACCAACTACTTGTACCTGCTAGTTCAGCGCTCACAGCGCCCCCGCCCGCTCGCGATATTACCCGCCCCCCTTCTCCATGAGGGCGCCTACTCTAGCCTGGCTGTTAGTCCTCTAAAATTTTATATAACATTGAAGGAATGCAGAAATGATTTAGAAACGGACAACGGCAGCTACATATAGAAATACAATATAGCCTATATCTAATTTTTTTTTTTTTTTTTTTTTACCATTGCTTTGGCGCCCCCCATTGTGCTGCGCCCCTATGCGCCGCATATAGCGCATACCCACTTTTTGCGCCACTGGTCTGAGGATATGTCACCATGGCAGGTTATATGCAGCGTGGGGTGTTTTGAAACCAGCAAAATTACAAGTTAGTGTACATATACAAAAAAAATGAAACACCTTGTTGTAGAACAATGTAGTATTGTGGCTTTATGTATGGTCAGACGCTTGCATCGTTATATTATTAACATTTTTCCAAAATTAAGCTCAAACGGAGTTAAGTGGTTTTGAGCGAATGTCGGAGATTTGTGTTTTGTTTATCGTTAGAACGGCCACATCTGTGGCAGTAAGTGCATTGCATTACATTTTTATCAACTTTCATGTTTTTACAAAGGTTACTGTAGCTATGCGGGCGCTCAGTTTTTACAGTCGTTTAATATATTTGGCAAAAACCTTCTGTTATAAAAGACAGAGTTATGCACGTGTTGAATTGGCTATGACTAGACGGCAAATACCAGACTTCTCCAATCCCCAATTACATAAAACTTTAGCCTTTACACACATTATTTATTCAAAGAAGCATTTTTTTAAAAAATTTACCCTTGTAAATCTCCAAAATGCGTGCAGCACTTAATTTACGATTGAGGCAGGTGGAGCTACTGTATGAGGTTTAGCCAACAGTTTGGCGATCCACTCGAGTTAAGGTTTGGTCACAAGCTCTTAGCATGTTCAATTCAGACTCTGGAATAAAGTATAGGCAAAAGAAAATAAATAAAATTAACATTATTAAACGCATTTTTTTTTTCTAATCAAACCGGTTTCGTAACGATAATGTCACAGAAGGAATGCATGAAAAGAAACTAAAAAATACCGTTTCTGTTCGGAGTTAACCGATTTATTATTATTTTTTAAGCCCTGCTTTTGTAGACCAGCGCTGTGCAACACTTTCTGTGTGAAATGAGCTTTTGTCTTCAGAAAGCAATAGAACCATGTAAAGCTTTTTGACAGTCTTTGCTTTTAGAAAGATGGAATTCCTTAATTCTCTAACCATGATTCTCTTTTCTTGGCATTGTTGAAAATAGTGCCTCTCACCCAGAGGACTGTGGGAAAAGCTGAAAAGTTAGTCTCTCTCACCAAACAGTGACTAATTGCTCTGGTGCAGTGTTGGATAGACTCAGATGATCTACTGAACTACAATAGAGCTGCAATTCATCATCCTGGAGTTCTACAACACACTTCAGTCTGATTACCAGCAGCCACACACACACAATACCACACAAACACAGTATCTTCGCATCTCCTCTGATAAAAAAAACGTGCACACCAGTTTTGTGGGTAACGCATTACAACTAACACAAGTTACGTAATCAGATTACTTTTTTCAAGGAACTAGTAAAGTAAAACATTACTTTTAAATTTACAATAAAACATCTGAGTTACTCACTTTAAGTATTTATTCTCACTTTATTAAACAATGTCTTTGCTGCTGGCATTTGATGATCCAATTCAACCATAGGAATAATTGAAAAAAAAAAAACGACTAGATAAATATTATGTTTGTTTTATATTCTTGCTGAAATAAGTCTGTTGAATTTTCTTCTCCTGCATCCTATTATTTTGTGATCCAGAATGGCAGCACAGCCTGTTTGTAATGCATAACTTTTAAGTAACTGTCCTCAACACTCAAAAGCATTCAAGCAGTTTCTTCTTGTTTCTACCTGATCTCTTCACACAGCTTTACAGCTTTAAGTTTACTCTTTCTGATGTGAGTTTGTCAGGCTGTGGTGGCCTTTGGGTTTGGCCGTTCAGTCACTTTGTGTATACAATTTTTGCTAATCATTTGACTTGAAACTCACCTCTCCACCCAGCTCTTGTAGCTGGGAATGTCCTTGGCGTACAGCAGCTTGTTAGATGGGGAGTCTTTTCCCAGGCGGTGCTCTGACGTCGAGCACGAATCCATGAAGGTTTGAGCCACCACAGACAGACAGGCATCCGTGATGCTGCTCTTATGGATGTCGAACACAAACTGCGGGTTCTTGATCACGTTCACCCAAAACCGTAGAGGTAGACTGTGGAGAGCAAAGGAAGTGGTTTAGTGCTATTCTTATATTTTAAAAAGCTCTTTTAATGCATAAAAACAATTTATGAAACCCCAGGCTGCATTTAATGCTTATAAGTTAAATTGAATAGATAATGATATTGTTAAAGGAAATCCTTTTAATTTAGATGTGCAGATCCAGTTTTCTAGCTTGGAATGGGTTTATGAGCACTTATACCAGGCTTTTACAGCTATAACTCATATTAGTTTGTTTGTATCTGTGCGCTGCCCTGCAATCGTGCACCTGTCTAAAACAATAAATGTATACAAGGCTACTTTATACTCCATCCCATTTGTGCTTAAGTGAAATCAACTTAGGCTAGACCCTTGGTGTATGTGCGAATGCGCTTCTCGTGTGTCACAGATGGTGTTTAGTCTGGGAATTTGTGTGCTTGTTTCTGAGACTGCAGAGTTCTCATTAGTTTTCAAGATGGCTTTGGTTTTGTCTTGGATAACAAAAACTGAGGAGAGGACATGAGGGAATAAGAAAGGACACTGCAGTGAAATGGATGCAGAGTTTCACATCAAAGTGAAAGAGAGAGAAAACCGTCAACAAACGCTTTTCCATAGAAGCCCCTTCTTTGTTGCCCTCTGAATTCATTTAACAATAACAACTGCACCAAAGAGGATTTAGGGAGCAAACCACGTATTATGACTCCCAATTTAATCAGACAGAATCAACTGGGATTATCTGCATTCTATCAAAAGGATATCAATGCTGTAAAAACGAGTCGACACCCTCGTAAACCTGCCACAGCTGGCCTCAGATTGTGTACAGAACAAAAAGCAGGACGTCTAAAGCGCCATACTTTAGAGAGAGCTCTCAGTGGAGAGAGTGAGTGGATCAGGAGATGGGAATGATGTCTGGATGGACTAGATCCCAGCTAAATATAGAACTCAGCTCAGCGTAGCTCTCTCTGGGAAAAGCCTCATATTCTTCTGTCAGTCTTTTTGGGTTTCTTCTGTCTGTGTAAAGGTAGAAAGATTTGTAACGTGTGGGATGGTTCTGATGTATCAGGGAACAAAAATGTTCAGCCTAAAAATAATGTCTTCTATATCTCAAGGTTAGTTGTTTAGTGAGATTTATCTAGAAACGAGTCTAGATAATCTTGTAACTTAACCCAAAGAACAATTAATTGACTATTTGTTCATGCAACCCAACCCACGAGTCTATTTTGAAAATATGTACTTTTGCACATCCTTACTTACAAAACCCATTAACCTGTCTGGATATGGAAGAGTGTTGAATTTGTATGTATGATATTGTAACGGCGCAGTCCAAATGACAGTTGGAGATCACCGAGTCACTGTAAAGTTGTTGTTTTTTTGTACGGATTATTGCAGTATGTAACCATATTGGGAGGTGAATCACACTTTCATTGGTACTCAACAAAATTGCATTTATTCTGTTCATCTGCATTTAGTACTTTCTCAACTAAGAGTTAATTTAGCCAAGCCAAACAACATGCTTCGATTATCTTTATCTGCACTGACAGGTTCTACTCAGCATGGCCCAACCCTCGCCCAGTCACAAGACTGACGATAACATGATGGATGATTTACAAGAGTCTCATCCATCAGCAATCCATCTCTGCCTGGCTTTGGTTAAAGATCTGATGCTTAAGGCATCCTTTGATGCATTTGAAGAAGTGAGTTGTAACAAACTGTGGAATCCATTATTTAGGTTGTGATTGGCTTGAATAAATTCGTTGGGGTTTGATAAAAGTCAGTCTAGATGTTCACGAGATTCATCCAAACTGCAAATCGTCAAAATTCTGTATGAAAAAACCTTTCAGCTCTTTAAAAAGTTTAAAATGCGCTTGATTCAAGTAGATGCTTTCGTGCTGAAATACTTGATTTGGGTGTTATTCTCGCAACTAAATATACACTTAAATATGAGAATATGAGACATCTTAAGTTGCAATCTGGATTGTCTAGAAATGTCTCTTTTGCAAAATCAATCAAAATGAGTAACCCCTTAGTACACCCTACACAAATACACAAAAATCCCATTTAGAAAAACAATAATTGGTAAAGAGAATTGATAAACAAATGCTAACAGGCTGTAAAACAAAATAATGATTATGGCAGTGCTTTCATAGCCTAAAGCATTTAGCTTTAAAGTGTAAAAATCCTCTAGAGACAGCAAATATGCCCCCCCAATTAATGGCCTGTGTGTTGCCAGCAGCACATCTAGCCACATAGATAAAGCTGAGCCTGTTGTTTTGTGTACAATATCTGAAAATAGAGCTATTTCGTTGTCTGCGAGAGACATTAGTTGTCAGCAAAAGCTGGGCAGCAAGTGCATTAGTTCTGTCGAAGACCCTCTCACACGCATTAAAAAATATCAGAGACACCAGAGTGGCATCGGGCTGTCATGCCAGGCAATGAGTGCGAGATGATAAATCACTATTTAACGTTCCACTCTTTGTGAGAACGATTCCATTAATGTGTAATGCAAGAGTGACCCTCTGTGCTCTCCAAAAACACTTAACACTCTCAAATGGCCCTAAAACACACTGCGGGGGGAGATGGGGGAAATTAGGTCTATAAAACAGAGTAAATAGGGGACTTTACCCACCGCCTCCCTGCCGTGCCCTCACATCAATATCACCACTTCATCCCCCATAGCCCTTTGGGGTGGTGCGTGATGGAACGCTGGCAGAGGCTAATGATAGATTACCACTCATTAAATGTAGTGCCAAGCTTTCCTTTCCCCTCTCATCTCATCCCATCCCCTCTTCTTTTCTCACTGGATCTGCTAGTTGTTTATTTAACCCCCACAACCCCCTTCCACCATGGGGACGTGGGTTTAAATTGGTTGGGTGAAATTAATTTGGAAACGAGTGTTATTAATTTCTCTCATACTCATTGTCCACGGTAACATCAGCTACATCAGGGAAGGGATATCAAGATGTCTGCTTTTATGGGTCTGACTGCTTATTATAGTTTCACACACACACATTTTTATAAATTAATGTAAAATGATTTCATTTTATATTAATTCATAAAAATGTTAGAATACAATAATGGATATTAATGTATGTTTAGACTACTTACCAGTTGCTCTTCCATGTGTGTCTGACGTGCGGATCGTGAATGCTGTGCTTGTCGGCCTGCTCATCCAGGAAGTCAAACATGTACTTGATAGCAAGAGGAAGGGCACTTCCTCTGTGTGCTGTGCTGAAGATGGTCTCAAACAGGTCATCCACAAACTTCTGTAGAGTGCCCTGAGGAACCACAAAGAACGGAGAAGAGGGTTCATTTTCATCCATTCCATCCCATCCTCTCTGTCCTTTGCTTTCATTAAATGACTTAGGCCCCGTCCTACTGCGTTTTTGTTTAAAAATGGAGAATTGAAACGAATACGATCTCCGTCCACACCACCGTTTTATCAGCGTACCTCCGTCTACATTAAAACAACTGAAAACGCGGATCACGTGACCATTCACCAACACTGGGCATAAGCTTGCCGGTGTAAACAGTGGCTGGCGAATCATGGAAGGATACGTCATGACTCATGACAACTAATCATAGAGCCGAGCGTCAGCCTCTGCGTCATCGTTTCTAAACTCCTCCGTTTTGTTCCGTCTACACCAAGGCTCAATCCCAATTCACCCCTTGGCCCTACCCCTCCGTTTTGCGCGTTCACGTCTAGGGGTAGGGTGTCCTGATTCTTGTTGAGATCGAGGGGTAGGGCGAAGGGGTAGGGCTACATAGCCCTCGAAACAGAGATTTTTCAGAGGCACACTCCAAACGGAGGGCTAAGGGAAAGTTCACGGAATGCATCGGAAATCACCGGCGAGATGGATCGCAAACAGTTAAACATTTAAATTTAGCGCCAGATGATTCCACCACGCACTTTATTTACTCTTACAATAACACTATAGTAGTTTAAATTAAGAAATGGTATAATAAATTACCTTTCCGATCAGAAAAGACATAGATTTCGAGGAAGGGATGTTATAATCATCATGTTTATTCAAAGTTAAAAGCAGCTGCACTGATTGTCAGTTGTTGTCATGGCGAAATCCTGTACAAAATCTGTAACGGCAGAGCCATCGCCGACGACTGATGATGTATCGGGTTCATGAAGGGTTGTTCCATTTCGTAGGGGAATATTTCAACCCCTTGGCCCTTATAACTCCGTTTTAAGGGCCAAGGGGTACACTCGAAAACAAGGGGTAGGGCCAAGGGGTGAATTGGGATTCAGCCTAAAACGCCCTCCGGAGATTCAAAACGCAAAACGGAGCTGCAGCGTTTCTAAACTTCTCCGTTTTAGGTCTTCGTTTTTCCCGTTTTAGTCTGGACGGGAGGTGCAAACGTAGCAAAAGGTCTCCGTTTTTAAACGAAAACGCAGTAGTGTGGACGGGGCCTTAAACAAACTGGTGTCGTCAGTATTACAGAGACTGTCCATATATGAGTCTTCCTGATATTTATTAATGATAACAACTATTTAACAGTGTTTATGTAAGTGTTTCTGGCCAGCTGTCAGTAATCCCACCAATGAAACCAGCATTCCTGAATCAAGCTCTTTGATAGTGAAAGTGTTACTTTGAAGTTCACCTTTAATATCACGTAACGGAAGCGATTCTTACCTAAGCTGCTTTGTGCGGATGGATTAACGTCCAACCTGCACCATTGACCCTAATTTGATTTAATGGCGGTGAGTCTAAGAAGGAGAGAAGACGACAGAATCTAATCCACTTGTAATGAAAGAACTGATAGGATGCACGGAAGAGTGAGTGAGTGAGAGAGAGAGGAAAAAGAAAGAGTATCAAAAAGCGCCGCCCGTATCTTGCAGCCAGCACAGGCTTCACGTCCGGATGAGGTGTGCACAAGGCACAGCACACACAATCCTATTTCCGTTTGAGCAGATGGCAAGAGTCGGCGAGGAAGAAGAAAAAAATCCCGTTAGCTGACAATCACGACAATAATTCTACTGTGTCCCAGATCCCTGACAGCTTATCTTTTCCCTATGAAGATGAAAATACATATTTCTCACTCGCGCCCTGCATCAACGCGGAGACAGCCGCAGGAGGCTGGCGACAGGGATGACTGCAAGAGTTCTGACAGGTGTCACCCTGTGTGACGACTGACATCATCATTAGTCGCCCAGAAAGCAAAGTGGCTATTTGCAGGCGTTTGAAATGTACCTGGTCATTACAGCACACTTAAAAGCATGCTACCAGACACAGGCTGGCAGTCAGAGAAGCATTAAACTTCAAGTGATCTCGTTCCAGACAGGTGAGGGAAGAACATTTGTGTAATAGCAAACAGAAAGAGGGGAAAAGAGAAAGAAAGAAAGATTAAATAAAGCCTGGCATAATGGAGGGAGATGAAAAAAGGTAAAGCTCACCCATCCTCAGAGACACTGGCGGACCGAATGTGAAAGGCGCCAGCACCCCAGGCAGATCACTGGTATTTATTGCCGGGGCGAAAGCCAAACAGTCAATTACAGTGCCGTCACACCAATCATTTTTCACCAAGAAAGATGGTGTCTGTGATAAACTGGTTATTTGACAGAAATAATCCATCTAAAAATATGACAAACAGTCTGCAAGCGCACTAGGGTAATCATCGGGGCATTTGTGCACGTGTGTGTTCGGAAAAAAGTCTTGTCACTTCTGCTTGGTTACATTTTTCTTGGTGGTCAGAATCACAGACACGCATACAGTTCTGCAAAAAGCAGATCTACTTCCCAGTGCTTTCATTTCCCAGCATTAGCCCTAAAGAAAACATGGTCAGGGGACTTCACATCCAAGTTTAACCATCTGTTTACAAGCTCTGCGGAAAATGAAGAGTGAAACCAATGGAGAAGATGCAGATTGGAGCAAATAGCATAAACATGAACCATGTGACACTGTGGCCTCATTCTAGAAGGTTTATATGTTTCTAGAAGGATAAGATGCATATAGACCATTTCACAAGATGTAAACAACACTGGTCCAGAAGCACTTCCTGTTTCAGTTTTTTAACACTACATAAAAGCTGGGATAAAATACAACCAACAGAACATATAAAACTGAATCAAAAATTAAAAAAAAAAATATCTTTAAGATGTTTCCTTTACATGTGAAATAAAGAAAACAGTTACAAACTGAAACATGAAGTGTTTCTGGACCAGTGTTGTTTACATCTTGCAAAATGGTCTATACAACATTGACAAATGCAGACAGAGCTTACCTTGGTGGCCAACAGCCTGGTCAGGTAGATCTCAGAGACCATCTTGCTGCCACGGTCTCCCTCCTTCTGGTCTCCATGCTCATGGTTCTTTACCAGGTGCCACACCTTAACGCCACTCTCCAGGTCAGGTGTGATCATGGGTGTGCGGGAACGCAAGCTGTCCGGACTGCCCGTGTACTTGATCATGTTTTCTGTTGGAGGGAAAAAAGACAAAGACCCATCAGATGGCGGTTCCTCGATCTTCCTCTGCTGACAAATGTTCCATGCAGCTGTTCATATCTGTACAAAACACTATTGCTTTTTGTTGTGCAGTACTGGACATTGGAAATGAGTCATTTAGAACATATGGATGCTTAATTTTTTTATCCCTGCTTTCTCTCAGGTTGACGCGCACGTTCGCTCACTTTGGCGGACACAAAATCGAACAGGTGTCAGGCCAGATGAAATATTCATGCTTCAGCCAATAGGGAGAGATCAGCCATAACATTAAAAAAAAAACCAAAAAAAAAAACACAGAACTCGATGAATGTTTACACAGAGTGGAAAAAAAAATTGATTGGCAAAGGCCTGATTTGGCAAGATAAAAAAACGGTTCACAGTGGCAGATGCAACAGAAATCAATCTCTCCAGGGGAAGGAGAGAGAGAAGCGGAAAAGGAAAACCGATAAAGAAAGACAAAAACACCTTCAGAGAAAGACAGACATGAAGGGATGACAAATAAGATAAAAAGAATTAGAAAGGAATGGGAGTGTGCATGTATTTACAACATTCACACTACCTCAGAATACTTTCAATCATAAACACTAACTGTGTGAACCTAGACTACATTTGGTGGAGATTGGATTAATAACGCAGCCTCGCAAAGATTTCACTTTCTTTTCACAAAATCTTTCCATACCAAGAAGGTTCAAAAGTGGTCTTTTGCTCGCCCTGTTTGAAGAACCTCCATGTCGTTTGAAGGCAATTCTGAAAGAGTGAAGTGATGTGTGGCATTTTATTTTCTTGTCTTTCCCATCTGTCACACTCCCTATCTCTCTTCTTTATGGCTCATTTAGAGTGCAGGAAAGTATATGGAGATGAGATTATATTAATGGTCTATTTGATGTGTAGGGGGGGGGGGGGGCTTTGATCTTGAGCTTTATCAGACCCAATCGTACAAGGTACTGATGGCGAGCGAATGGCAGGGACGGATTCAGAGTCTCAGGAGCAAAGTCAAGTGCAAAGAGACTCATTTTCTCTGCTTTTACCTTTGTATGCTGCCTGACTATCTCGGCTCTCTCCACGTAATTCCGTTTGAGCTTCGTTCCTGTTCCCTTTTGTGAGCGGCTGAGATGCTACACATTTAACATGCTTCTTTTCTCTTACCTCCCTATGAGATGACAAGACTATTTTTTTAAACTCCTTTACTGTTCTTTGTGCAGCTTAGGTGGAATGTTACCCTGCCCTGCTTTAGAAACTTAAGTCGGTAAATTATTAATGTTTTATATTTTGTGTGCTATGCGTTTTGTTTCGGAGATACGGATGCATTCTAAAATAAGAAAAGGAATAAAAGGAGTTGACAAACACAAACCATATTTGCTAGCAGAGGTTCTGGAGACAGTGGAGTTGTTTACAGAGTTGTATGCAGTGACCTGCTTTGGAACGAGAGCTACGACAGCATTATCAGACACCTGCAGACACAGAAACAAAGATTATCATAGACAACTTACAAAAAAACACACAATTCAGACCTCTTTTAAAATAGTTGTAAACAAGTAAGATGTATTCAGCATCATAATGGTTGGGTTTGGGTTATTGGTCAAACTCATCAATTTCTCAGGTAAATGTTTGACTGCATGGATGAGGACAAGATGGGCTAATCTGCTTCCATTTCAATAAGTATTTTTCTGGTGGGATGGGCCTGGCTATTTAACTATATGCCTCAGCAACTGCTAAGCACAGTAAGCCTTAGCAAGCCAAATTCAATCAACATGTGGGGGCCGCTACTCCCCAACGAGACACCCCTCCATCTACATAATTTGCTATTGGAATGCCTGCGGCACTTACAGGGTTAATTGAGGTGACTTTGTAGATCTAGATGGTGTGGGCTCAGAACTGCACAGGGACGCGGAAGCAGGGAGGGAGGGAGAATATGGGCTTTACAGACCATTAGGACATTATTCTTACACCCTTAACCCCTTTTCTCCCAGGACTAAGTCAACGTGAAGCCGTCTTCGTTTACTGCTGCGGATAGCTGTTCAAACTTCAATGAAATCAAAACAGACCTCAGTGTAAATGAATGTCTGTGTAAAACAGGCTTGTGCAAAATTCAGAATTTCAGAATTGGCCTCCATTCAATTCATGAATTGGAATATGAATTGAATTGACTCCGCCCCCCATGAAGTTGAATTTGAATTTGAATGACAGGAAGTGGAATTAAATTCATGGCAATTCAAAGAAATTCCACACAGTCGCACAACAGAAAGAATGTGTTGAATCTCACATGAGCGGGGCACAACGTAAAGCGTTTTGACTTTCTCAGTTTGTGCAAATCTATTTAGAGTGTTTATTTTTTTTCCCCACATTAATTTACCACATGTCTAGTACAATTATGTGGTACAGTGTATACTTTTTTCTTGATTTACCCTGAAAGAATGGAAGTGAAATGTGACAACATGCCCCATAGGTGGGGTACATTGTAACATGTGAGGGATACATTGTAACATCACCATATATAACAGCTTAAAATGCTGATCTGATCTAATAAAAAAATACAAGTCAAACCAAAATATTTTCTTAATAAAATACAATTATTAACTTTTTCACATAAAATAATGGCATTTTTTTAATAATTAAAAATAATCTAATTTTTGATATTGACAACAAACACACAGGAAATCACAATTTTTATTGAATTTAATTCTGCTTCCTTTAATTCAAATTCGAATTGTAATTCTAGATCCTGTTTTTGACATCAATTCAAATTCTAGAATGGAATTGGAATTTAGTAGTCATTCTCAATTCAATTCTGAATTGTGCACAAGCCTGGTGTGAAAGACAAGGGGCTTTTTAGAAAACAGCAGAGATTTTATCTTTTATCTTTCCTCGGTGAGCAAGTTTACGCTTTAAGAGAGTCTCTGTGATAGCATTCAGACACATCAGATATCTGAGATGAGGCTTATACAACCCCAATGTGAAGCTTCCCAAGGAGACATCAAAGAATTAATGTCAGAGCCCGATGCATTTTGTAGCACCTTGATTTGGAGTAAAGTATCAAAGATGACTTGAGATATACATTAGAAATGCACAGATGATACTTCATGACATACATATCAGCGCTAAAATAGGAAATATGTGGCATTAGAGAGGAAGGAATGAAAGTAAGGGAGACATAAACATGTATATGGTGCAAGGACAGAAATGGAATATGGTACAGGGGTTCAAGGAATCTCTATTCCCCCTCTTGAGCAACTCTAACAGGCTTAGGGGTTCTGATAGCTTTTTTGTCAAGGATAGCATGCCCTCCCCGACTGAAAATGAATTAACTTCTGTCTTCATTATCTCATCTCCGATTCCAATCAACAGCTAATCCATCCTGCCGCTTGCAGCCCTGCACCCATGCGCCGCCCCGTGACATTTAATTTAAGTACTGTGCACACTTCTCTCTCTCAAAAAGCTCATTTGGAAGGCGGCTTATGAAGGAAATTATTTACACTGTAATGAAGCGCCGCCTGTCTCCTATCCAGACTAAACTGCCCCGCCCAGTCTGACAGATAGTCTGGGGTTCTTCGCACTTAAGTATTTATATAATTGCACATAGACAGGTTTTATCAGTCCCCTGCTGAGACAGCATTGCCATACCTGACCTCTGAAACTCAATAGCCCCTGTCCACTATGTAAAAGATCTGTCAGCCAGACTCGACATTCGAAATGACCTGGAAGTGCCTTGACTGAACCCTATTATAGAGGTCAATGGGGGCAAAAGGGTCCTCGATAAGGCTGAGATGCGATGAATGTTAACAGTGTGTATGTTTCCCTAAACTAGATCAACTAAGACACACAAAACAAAAGCAATTGCCATCATAGAAACCACTTCTCTGCTCAGCCTTTTTTTTTTGTACTAATCACCTTATAAAGGTTCCTTGTTACATCTGAGACAAACATTAATAGAGCATTACACTTCTGAGCCTCATAAAAGACATTCAAATCTCTTTGTTACAGTATTAGTTCCTCTGTCAGAATCTGCACTATTTTTGAAAGCCTACGCAAAAACTCACATCACACAGAGAGCTGTTTATCAAAAGTCATTAGCTAGATCATCTAACCCGGGTGTCAGACAACAGCTCCACCTGCACCTGCATCCCACTGCTGTCAGATTAAATGTACTGGGACATCAGGAGATGCTGCTTTAAATAGAAAATAGCAATGCTCATCCTCCTTCTGATTTAAGGTAGATTTAATAGGCCTTTGTGATGGCAGACGGTTTGAGTAGAAAACAGCCAACACCAAAGCCTCTTTGATAATCTTTCTCACAAGAAAAAGGATGGTAGAGACGATAGAAAAAAATGCAGATTTTTACCGCTCAGAAGCATTTATGTCTTGGACCTCTGACTGTATGACAAACCGGCATACTGAACGCCCCATTACAGGAGCGAGTTTACCTAGAAGTGAATAGTCCACATGCAAGATCTTACCTGGTAGTGAGACAGCATGTTGAGTCTTTTCCAGTCAGCCTCGATCTTTGTGGTAACATCCTCATCCTGAAGGATAACTCGTACCACTCTGCCTTGACGCCACTCTGCAACGATATAACACAAAGTAGTTAAATCCAATGTTTAATACAGTAATATTTAAAATGTAGCTGAACCAATTCAATTCACGTTTATGTGCATGTCACTTTTCACAATAGAGATAGTTTCAGAAAGTGCATAATTCAATGATACAATGTCATTTGGCCCTAGAGAACAGCGAATTTTGCATTAAATCATTCTCTTTTTTAAATAGATTAACTTATAGTTGTCTGTTAAGTTGAGATGGGAAGTATTTTAACACAAAAACTAAATATAGCTACTTTTTCCCCCTTATTTAAATATTTTGAGTGCCACTAATTTGGACTCAAGCAGACACTAGACAATTTTATGCATATCTTGTTCCAAAAACTTCTTGTGGTGATAAATATGCTGGAATTTATAACATTTAGTAATCTTAAAATGAATCCTCTTTCTTCAGCTTTGAAAAAAAAATGGAGCTCAAAACCACACTTTTTTAACTTAAGACGGGAACAATTGAAGAAAAGAGGAAATGGACAAAGTCTATACTAAGAGAGAGGAGGAGAAATAAATGAAAGTGAGAGAGAAAATAAGGGTACGTGAAGAAGCATTTGAGAAAGAGAGGAAGGAAAGGAAAATTAATCTCTTCTGCCCTTTGTTAGAGAGCCGGGCCTTCGTGGCCAGTGGATCGATGGGCGTGATTACAGCCACTGCTGAAAGCCACTTCCTTTTTCATCTGTAGTGGGTCGAGCATCTTGTGCCCAAACGGATCTGATCGACCGCGTTAAGCCTCCTGCTGAGCTTGCTCTTACTGAACTTACTAGAGATGCACAACAAAATGCGAAGATATTCTCCCACCTTCCCCTCAAGACACACTAGCTGCAGCCTCAGCAATAACAGCAATGTGAAACGGTGATGAGATGGGTATCAGTGCTGAATGAAATATACATATCCCTTTGCAATGTGATGTACGGAAAACATGGCCAGGAACAAGAGAGACGTCTTTCTTTTCTTTTTTTTTTTTTTTGACTCCTCTCTGCTACAAATAAATGTATGATTGGAACGCTAGAGGAGTGAGGCCTCTTCACACCGCCTGCTGCTATATTTCGCTCTGATCCCAACTAGAAGAGCAAAACTGCAATCACAAGCAGGATGATGAAACATGTCTCTTGGTGATGAGAATAACTTCAAATCTCCACGAGATGCCCGACCATTGTTTTACATCTCACAACAGTACTGTCTATAAACATGCAAATGAGCCTAGGTTCGAAGTGCAAACAGAAGAGTAAACAGAGAGAATAAAAAAACTGGAACAGAAACAAAAAAGAACAAAAAGGAAAAGAAAATCAAAAAACAGACTAAAATAAGAAACCGAATATAAGGAAACGGGAAAGAAAATAAATTAAAATAAGGTTACACTTAATTTTAAGGTGATGTAGTTACATTGTACTTAAACAAGTACTGAGTAATGAGTTACGGTTAGGGTTAGGTTTTGGTTTAGGGTTAGTTACTTGATTACGCATAATGTCCTGTTACCTGTAACAACGTCACCTTAAAATAAAGTGTTGAGGAAAATAAAACAGGACAGGACAGGAGCAAAAACGACAGCAGCAGGATATAGCTGGATAGACAATCGAGCCAAATAAATGGTTAAAATAGAAACTGGGATTGGCTGAAGTGCATTGATTTGTCTGTATCACTTTCTCATTCTTTCCTTCTATCTTCCCTCCCTCCACCCCTGCCCTCAGGGGACTGTGACAGAGAGAATTAAAAACAAAGGCAAGGGACAGAAACACTCCGGTCCAATCTGTCTCAGAGGGATCGAGGAGATGGAGGCTACCTCATTCCTATTACCCATTATCTTTATCTGGCCTCCGGATCGGGCCAGAGAGTGTGCTCAGGAGACACTGAGATCCGTTTATGGAATGCCGAGATGCCTCCTCTCATCCGGGGATGCCCGTTGCTTTATCTTACAACACACTCACACACACTCCCTCAGACATTGTTCAATTCTCCCCCCTAATAAAACAATAATAAAACAACACACTTGCCCCCCGGGTCCCATGAAGCATTGTACACAGGAGAGCCTGTCGAAGAGGGTAAAATTATTTCTTCACTTATCATGGCTCCATTCCCTTATGGATAGACTAGCAATAGGCTTGAGAAATATGCTATTTGCAAAAAACAAAACAAAAACCAGATGAGTCCAGTCAATGTGGAATGAGAAGTGTAAAGCATAAACAATCTGATTCTCATCTGGAATTTGTGAAAAAATAGCTCTATGCGGACCAGTCTGGCTATTTGATCCCAGTAACACTCAAGCATACAAACATGTATGTTTCACGCATGCATGGAGGTAGCAGTGACTAGTGAAGGTTGCTCGTTCAAACCCCAGAAGTATTGATCAACTTACTGGCATGGCAAGTTAACTTTATTATCTTTAAGAGACAGTTTGCCCAAATATAAATATTCCGTCATCACTTACTAACCATCATATCATTGCAAACCTGTATGGCTTCGAAATTGGGAGAAAGAGGAGAAATTGAAGAAAAAACGTTTTTCTTAGAAACGTTTGAATAGGAAGGTGTGTGTAGAACCTGTCGGCTATATGTGAGTGTGTAAACCACTTATCTTTAGATGCACTGCCTCTGCTTTTTCCAATATCTTTGAATAAGGAAGTGTCTGCCTCATATCGAATTTGCTACTGTAGTGTTTTTTTTTAAGGTATTGGGCTAATAATCTCAAGGTTACTGGTTTGAATCCAAGTAAATTGCCAAGTAATGGGCAATTTATGGACTTTATTACTAAAACCTCTATCACAATTGTTCCCCAGGACCCTGTCTGTTAAATTACAAATTACAGGATGTGAGCTTGAATGTGAATCAAAGGCTAATATTGATTTAACGACTACCCATCACATTCATTTCACCCATCATTCTAAAACCGCAAAAGTCACTGATTCACACACTGAATCCCCTTACCAAGGCAAATGAAGGCGTAAAAGTTTGGGTAAAGGCATCTAAAGATAGAATAATGCTTGTCATACCCAGGTCCATGTCGGAAGCTTTTTGTCGGTGCGAATAGGGAACATTCTTGTAGATTGCGTCCAAGATCTTCTCCTTCACCTGGCTGATTGTGTCACAGTTCAGCACCTTCACCTGCACCTCTGGGCTCTTCTCATTGTCTGGATGCATGCAGTTCACCACCTACATGACACAGAACAAAATTACTCAATTAGCACATGAGTGGGAGACACATGAATATTTATGTGGCTGTAAAATGATCTTTTTGTAAGATTTGAAGTTTGTGTGTCAGCTGATTATAAAGAATGCTAAAATGCATCCATGCATGTAAGATAAACAAAAGAGAAAAATTTGTTAAAAAGTTCATTCAGGCCCCATGGAGAGCTGGTCTCATGTTCAGTATTTCTACTGATATCGGCATGTCTCAGCAAGACTGATCTAGGATCTGTATTTAACACCTACAAGATCTGATGTATGACAGTACCGTATTCTGGTCAAGCGTGTATGGGGCATTTCTGAATGAGTGAATGTAGTCAGCAGGTATAACGTAGCACAAGTAGGGAGGGAGTTGTCACCTCACACACCTCAGCTTGCACCAGTCTGCAATTAACATACTAATTCTCCTCATCTTTATTCCTTTTAGATTCTCTATGTCTGATGATAGCTGTCATTAACACCACCCCACCAGTACCTTAACCATCATCAGACATAATAACAAAAATCATTCAAAAAAAAAAAAAAAAGTCCCTAATGAGAGAGACAGCATATAGAGGCTATAAAGGCCCGTGTCCACTATGAGGGACATAATCTAAAAAAACAAAAAAATCCAAAAATCTCAATATATGATTTGTTTAACTATTTATTTCCATGATACAGCTGCAAATAAGGATTTGAACACCTGTCTATCAGCTAGAATTCTGACCCCCAAAGACCTGTTGGTCTGCCTTTAAAATGTCCACCTCCACTCCATTTATTATCCGAAATTAGATGCACCAGTTAGAGATTGTTAGCTGCATAAAGACACCTGCCCACCCCATACAATCAGTAAGAATCCAACTACTAACATGGCCAAGACCAAAGAGCTGTCCAAAGACACTAGAAACAAAATTGTACACCTCCACAAGGCTGGAAAGGGCTACGGGGAAATTGCCAAGCAGCTTGGTGAAAAAAGGTCCACTGTTGGAGCAATCATTGGAAAATGGAAGAAGCTAAACATGACTGTCAATCTCCCTTGGACTTGGGCTCCATGCAAGATCTCACCTCGTGGGGTCTCAATGATCCTAAGAAAGGTGAGAAATCAGCCCAGAACTACAAAGGAGGAGCAGGTCAATGACCTGAAAAAAGCTGGGACCACCATTTCCAAGGTTACTGTTGGTAATACACTAAGACATAATGGTTTAAAATGATGGATGGCACAAAAGTTTCCCCTGCTTAAATCAGCACATGTCAAGGCCCGTCTCAAGTTTACCAATGACCATTTGGAGAATAATGGGAGAAAGTCATGTGGTCAGATGAGACCAAAATAGAACTTTTGTGTCATAATTCCACTAACCGTGTTTGGAGGAAGAAGAATGATGAGTGCCATCCCAAGAACACCATCCCTACTGTGAAGCATGGGGGTGGTAGCATCATGCTTTCTGGACACGGGACAGGGCGACTACACTGTATTAACACTAGAATGGCCACAACGGTCATTTTGACCGTTTTGAATTTTATATCTACAATAACTTTGTTGAAAAAAATAATAAAATCCTGTTGGTACCTGACTTTTCCTAAAATTGTCTGTATTTTCATTTAAAATGCTTTTCATATAAATTAAGTTACGTAAACGTAAGGCAAAACAAAAAAAATGAACATATTTACCTATTTCGGCCATAGACGGTCATATTGACCGCACTGAATTTCGCGATATTTTTTTGTTAAATATTCCGCGGTTGATCGTGTTCTCTCTCAACTGTCAACAGAAAGGTCCGTCCGGTCACCTCTGTAGCGGTGTTTGCTATATAATAATTTCTACATTAGTTGTTGATCAGAAATAAGCAAATAAAACCAGACTACAGTTATCTATAATACTTACGTTATCTATAGGCTATATATCATTAGAGAGTGATTCAGAGTCAGAGTCCACATCAAGGAAAAAGAGACGGCTGCTATCATCAGACACGGCGGATCCAGATGATCCATTCATGTCGGATGATCCTGGTGAGCTCTGCTGCCCTGTCCTGCGCTGTTGCTGCATGGGCGGTTCACTAGTTCTGCTAGTCCTATTATTATTAGTAGCCTATTGACCGCTTCGCATATCGTCAACATTTTCGTCATAGTTTTTGTCATTCAAACCTAGTTTTTATTTAGTTATCGTCTCGTTTTCGTCTTTGAAAAAATGTGGTTGACGAAAATAAAATTATGAAAATTATTCGTCAATGAAATAAACACTGTTTTGAATCTAACGGTCAAAATGACCGTTCGTGGCCGTTCTAGTAGTTTTGGAATTCTGGCACTTCTAGTGTTAAGGAGAGGATGACCGGGGCCATGTATTTTATTTTATTTTATTTATTTATTTTTTTTTTAGATTATGTCTCTCACAGTGACAATGACAATTTCAGACCCCTTCATGATTTCTAAGTGGGAGAACTTGCAAAATAGCAGGGTCAATATAACAACCTCTCGTACCATATTGCGTAAGAAATGATTGATAATGTAACCAGCAAATGACTAGGGTAAGGAAGGCAGAATGTACTATCGGTAGTGACTTGTATTGTGTATCAGCAGCTATTTAAGTGTTTTGGAATTGAGGACAGAATAATGAAGCTGAAACAGATCCTTACAGTCATCAAATCAGAGGAATGGGCCGAATCCCAAGTGACGAATCTAGTCGCCAAATTCCCCTTTTTTCTTTTTCTCTCTTAGTCTCGTACAGAATACAGATTAGCATTCTGACGTGCTGTCCCAGTAAACAGCCCGTCCTGGCATACGTGCAGCCCTGACAACACAGGCTTAGCTCATGCCTGTCACAGTGGCCAGCCGAACACAACTCTGCCAATCACCACAGGACAGCAGACAGGTCAAAGGTCTTAACAAGCCTGTGTGTTCCCTGTCAGGCATGAAGACTGTGGGCATTGCTTGCTGCATCAACCCAAAACAAATTACCTTACCCTTCTCTCTACCTGCACACCTGTCTGCTTCTCAGTACTTTCACGCCTCTTCCTCACTCATTTATCCTTGTCTTTTTCTTCAGTTTACTCCTCTCCTTCTCTAAAACCGTTCATCTCTCCTTCCCTCGCCCATACTGTGTTTTAGAGCCTTACCAGAGTCTTGTAATCAATTTGCTGTCTGATGAGCTTGTCTTCACTGAGTGAGTAGCGGGCTTCTCCGGTGATAGAGTCGATAGGGCCTTTTTCCATCTGTTGCTTTATAGCACAGAAAAGAGAGAAGAGGGGCTCCCCTGCACACTCCTACACAAGGGAAGAAAAGGCACTCTGTCACTTTCACTCTCATAAATTTGACACCAACCACCTACAGAGAATGTGGGATATCATTCCCTCATTCAGTAACAGTAATAGACATTTTGAACGGAGCTTTACAGTTGTGGTGCTAGTGCATCATTTTCAACTGACACCACAATTTCACTCATATAGATTCCATTGATAGTTAAGCTAGATCTGGAGTTTTTGTATTTTGTGTGCATTTACATACTATGTTATGATTGAATTGACAATATGTAGCCACAAAAAATGTAATTATTCAGATTCAAATACTTTTTACATTACATTTTAATTGTTCTCAATATATGTTAATGTGAGACAATGAAAATTTAGCTGAACTTGTTAACAGTTAACAATTGGCAGTGGCAGTGACCCAGTGTTGAAGACCCAGAGGAAGGCATTAAGCTGAAGTGTACTGTGTCTAGCTGAATTTGATTAGGATATGCTTGCTGAAATGAGAAATGACTAGTGGTCTGGGCAGCTGGTCAAGCACTGTTCAATAATACTCAAATCAATGTTTTGTGACTGCAATAATAATGTTATGGTTTCGCATGGATGAGGTCACAATAAAGTCATACTCTTACAGTACAGGCCAATTTAAGCTTAAATGAATCCTAAAGCTCTTGAGTGATGTTTCGGCTTCATTCACTCAGGTCTAATCCGTTAAACCAGACTGGACAAAACTACCTTGAGTTCAAGAATTTATTGCCTGCTTTGTGCATTCCAGAATCCAGTAAATTTCTGTACATTTCTGAAATTGCACATGCCATGTTCTGATTGCAGCAGATGTGTTTATTAAGAGATTAATGACAAGTGCGAGAGAGGACTGCAGTGGTGCTGACGGTCACAGTGCTATATGTAGAATTGAGAAGCACCTGCTAAGCCAACCGTCTCATTATAAAAATCGAAAAACGCTGGAGTCAGCAAGACTTGGCCAACTTTAAACCCTCTTTGATTAAAAGTGCATGCTGACACATTCGCATACAGATGTACATACACACCAACACATATTTATACACTAGACAGCAACTCTCCCCTCTGTCCAACACCTGTAGTGCATCACTGCCAATGCTCCCGCAGGACTTCTCTGTGCTCAACAGTGCATAAGCCAAATGACCTTGAAGGTGAGTGATCTCTTTTCTTTCAATCGTTGGTTTTTAATTATTACATTTTTAATTATTACATTATTGCAATTATTACACTTACCTTGAGGAATTTGTAAAGCAGAAAAGTGAACCAATTCGTTAGCATTTTCTCAGCCACAGACTCCGTTCTGAAAAACAAATAAGCGAACAAACAGTGTAAATAAATAAATAAATAAATAAATAAAAGCAGCACAAAGCCAAGATTATCACTGCAAGTGTCACACACAAATGCGATTACCATGACCATGAAAAATTCACTTCACAAAGCCCGGTGAATAGTGACTCTGTTAAACAAACATAATTGCCAGAACATGAATTGCGCTCTGGAATCTATAGCCCCAATCTGCATGCTGTCTTTATTACCACAATAATCCATGAGACCCTAATACAAGAAACCCAATTAAAAGCCTTTATATGATCCAGCTGGATTGATGCCAAGTGAACCTACTCTGGCATGGAATAGACCGGACTGGAATAATTTCCTCCCCCCCACAGTCCGACTATTGAGCTTTAAATGTATCGCATTACAAAAGAAGGTGGCTGAATAGAGGGCTGGGGTGCGTCGAAGTGCATCATGATTGGCTAACACCTTCGCTTGGACCACAAGCTCTGATCCGTCCGAGAGATGTACATACATAATAACTATAACAAAGTGAAACCCAATATACATGGATCCGGTGTCTCTAGTCTGTGTGCCGCAGGGAGCTGGTGAATTGCCAAGGCGCCCTGCAATGAGCCATGGCACAGAGCATCAATATTTCAGGATTACAGCATTGTGGCGTGTGTGTGTCTATGCCTACTCTGCCGACTTGCATCCCCCAGCTGCCACCTGCATTCCCTCTCTCCCACTGCCGTACGAAGACCTGCCGCTGCGCAGTACCATGGGTACATGCGTGTCTGCATGTGCCCACTAAGCTGGCGCAACACCTGGAAAGGATTATTGTCCCCTTGTTTGGAAGGGCCAATGGAGGACTGGTCCAGGGGTCAACTGGGTCACGTTTCATCTTTTCTTTCATCTCCATCCTAACACTGCCCTGCAATCATCCTCACTCCTGACTGTTCTCAACGCCTGGATAATTTAAAATGAGAAACAGTAGGTGGGAGAAAACCCCGATTTGTAGCGAAGTACAGAAAAAAAGAGATAAAAATAGCCGAAGACTTGCTTCATCACTTATTCCCATTAAATTTCCCTTTCTTTTTCTCTTGGCTGATTTGATGGTAATTATTGTTGGCAAGACCCCATAAACTCACTTACCCATATCCTGTGTTACCTCGCGGCTCACCGAAGGGTGAACAAGTAGCCTTGTTGCCAGACAATCCTGGCACAACCGCTGCCACAGGGCCAACAGCAACCAACTATCACTGTCCCCCAAATCCTTATGTCACATATCATTGGCACTGAAAGCAAGCTCTTGTTTGGCTTTGGTTTAGGGAGGCAGGAGAAGTAATGCCCATCCAGTGATGAGGAATGGGACGTGGCATCACCTGGTGCTTAGTTCCCCCTGATTAAACAGCCATTTCAAAGTGGAATGAAGTAAAATCGGCTGGAGGATTCCTCCACGGTGAATGCACAAATAGGCACATTGGAGCTGTGCTCCATAAACAAGAAAAAGAGGGTGAGGAAAGAGCTCCATATATCTTCCTCCTCATCTCTCGCATCCAGAAAAGGCCATTTACATTTGATGCTGCTTTCTGCCACAGCAAATGTATGTGAAAAGCCAGCTCTACCAACTTCAAGGACCTGAGAGTGGTTTATGATTCCATGAGAAGCGTCACTCTATGACAAATACTACACTGCAAATGTGTGTTATTTGATTTAAGAGTGTTGCTAAGCATGTTGACAGAGTAAATGTTTTACGTTTACTAGTCTCATACTTCAGCTAATATGTGGGCAGGAAGGAACACACCTGGCTAATGTGCTGACGTTATGCACCTTGCAGCATCAGAGGCATTATTTTCTTAACCAAACAATCTGTACCAAAGTCTGTTGAAACAAACCCCTGGAATTTTCCCCTCCTTAATGCACATGTGTTAAAGAACACAGCTTGAAGCAAGGAATAATTTCAATTTCGCACTCTGCCTCACGTGGAGAAGATTGTCCGCTCACCGCATTGTTGGGTCCCGCTGCGTAACCATGGTCCCCCTTCATTGAGGATTATCCCCAGAGAATAATCACAGGACTTCTATTCAGCTCTGCGTGACTATGTGTGTGTGAAGGAACTGGATTTGAATGTGCTGGTCAGTAAAAGTCTGAGTTAAAATAAGTGTACAAGCATATGCAGGAACAGTAGACCCATGTGAACTTCACTGATGCCATACATATAGAGAAAATGGGCTGCACAATCGGAGAGGTTATTTTTAATCGTAGATGAGTAGAGTGGGCTGCAGGGAGCGAAGGAGAGGGAGAAATGCGACAGATGGTTCTAGAAGCCGCCCGTTAGTTAGTTAGCCTGTGTGTGCTTGTGAACTCAGGTTGAGGCTGGACAGATGGGGCGACTGTCGCAAGCGCTTTCTTGGAAATGGGGAAAGGAAAGCTGGTTGGAGGCTTCTGCCAAAGATGTCCTGCTTCTCTGCATTTTAAACACAGATTTAGAAATCATGCAGTGAAAGAGAGACCAGGAGGAGAAAATTATTCTCAGACAATAGATTAAGCTTCATTGTTCTGGCCCAGTGCTCTGTATCTAGCTTTGCTTAGAGCAGGTGTTAGAGGTTAGACAGGTTCCATGTAACGAAGATCACTCTATATACCTGTGAGGGTCATTAATTGAAATATATGGACTAAAAAAGGGCTTCTCAACTGCAAAAATGCAACACAGGCCCATTGGTTGCAACATTTCAGTGTTTCATTTTAAGAACATTTATAACAAAGAACGTTTGTACTGTGATAGATGTAAAATCTGGATCCTAAAGCAAAACTGGTTATGATGGAACATTGTAGCCAACATCCGCAAAGTGCAGATGTTGCAGGTGCCTACAAAAATGTGACAGGGTTTTTTTTTTATGTCTGACAGAAGCTCGAGTGAAACAAGAAAAATATCTTATTTTTCACCACTAATATGTACAGCAGCTCTTTGTGCAATTAATCTTCCATTCGCTTGTTTCAATTAATCATGCTTAATCATCAAGGGTGTTGAATCAGTTCTAATTTAGTCAAGGAGCTTCTCTTGTAGTTGTCAAATGATCAGCTTTGTTGGTATTAGAAAGCTTGTTTTGACCAATGAATTATTGGTAATGTTTCTTTTACAGTACAGTACTTACAGTATGCTTACAGTGTACTTACCTAGAAAGTACTGGCTAATATAAGGTAAGTACATGGAACAGGGGTAGGTTCAGGGTTAGTACTAGTTATTACCCAGTAATTGTAGTTACTAAAATAAGTACATAGTATTTACATGGGTAACTGGATTGTAAAAGGTTTTGAGTTCATTGTCATTATTTTTCTCAGAAAGAGCCCGTATTTACCCCAATAATATATATATATCAAAAGTGTCAGCTTTTAACTTTACAAGTAACTTTACAAATCAACTGCTAGAACATTAAGAATAAAAATAAAAACCCAGACGAGTTCAAATGAGTGGAGAGGAGAAAAATCAATATGGTAAAGTAATAATATTGCCTTCTATGCAGTTAGAATACAGTGATGCAAAAAGTTGATTGCATGGGGAATTAAGCTTCACATATCTCCCTCACATTCAGTAGGTTTTTAGTGCACTGTTAATTGGATCTCAAGCTAATTAATCCAAATTACAATTTAATGACAAGCATGTCAGTGAATTCCATGTTTGGGAGAGAAAGTGTGCATTTTAATGTCCCCAAAAGCAATTATTCCTATTCAGCGTACTGTAGAGTCCACGTTTCAAAGAGAATTCACAGAGGTCATCTGCTCTCATCAATGGAGTTAACTATAATTAGAATGAGGCAGATTGAAATGATCCCAAAATTTAGAACATGTGCTCTGTTGATTACACGCACGAGGGGGATTTATAATCAGTAAAACCCACTGGACTGCAGGACTAGATTTTTGAGATGTGCATGTGTCTAATACCTTCTAAGCAAGAGTTTGGGATGGTTTTTGCTCTCCAGGTTCTTGTCAATGAGGTCAGACAGCAGGTGCTTGAGAACGTCGGTTGCATACTCCAGTTTACTTTGCAAAACAGTCATGATCAAGGAGGCAACATTGCCGCGGTCTCGCATGGAGAAGCCTCTCTGAGACTCCAGGGTTCGGATGAAGGACAGCAGGAAAACCTTGTTGTTGATAAGCTGTCCAAACAGTTTTAGGCCTTTCTCCACCTGTTCCTGTCTGTAACCTGGCACCTGCAGGAAAAAAGGGAAAACAACAGTTACAAACAGATGGAAATTCATAGCCTGAATGTGTTTATTCATCAGCATATTTATTGAATGAATGAAATCAAATTAGACACAATTTACTTTGTAAATACACAGTTTTGGAATTATTTTGCATGATTTATCAGTGCATTTTAGTCCTAAGATTTTATTTATTTATTATTTGATGGATAAAAAGAAGCCCCGCCCTACACTTTTTCCTCATTGAATGTCCTGTTTCACTCAGAAAAGCATCCAATTGTGGCATTATTTCATGTAGTTTTCCCTTCAGCTAAGCAACTTATCATAAATACCTCCATTTTTATTTCTGTGAAGTTCAAGAATGCTCGCTTAAACTTTAGCTTGACTTATTTCCAGCCCTCTCATTTAGGCCAACAGCTTCACTAACACCCACGGGCATTTACACTGAAAAGAACCAAATACTGTTAATAAAAAATAATAATAATAAAAACACTATGCAGATGATCAGGCTACATTTGCATTTACTGCTCACTGGGTTATAATTAATTAATTGTGCTTTAAGAATACCCGATGACAAACAATTAACCAAGCAGAGACCCTCATTTGATATGATTTGCCTAATCAATAATCATTAAATACCTCAGAATCTCTAGATGGCTCCTGTCATTAGCTGTGATTTTACTATAAACTTCTCCAGAGAGAGGAGACGTTTATTCCAATTAAGTCTTAATTGATATAGCTGATAAGAACCAGAGATCATCTGGCATTAGCAGGTAAAGTATGGCTTGTATGTTGGCTGAAGAAATATATGTGATCCAATTAAAACGGTCCATCACTTTCATAGCAGGGCATAAATTACTTGTAGCTCGGTGTACCATGCATTCGATTTTAATTCTGTTCCCCACACTCGGTTGTGTCACATGTCATTACTGTTATTAACAAAAGAATGACTGTGAATCAGAGAGCAGCTCATTACTTTAAGCAAGAGAAAGAGACTGCATGTAGATTATAATGAGAGCTGCTGCCTTTTGTTTACTGAGGGTGAACACAAAAAGCATAGTGACAGCTTTAATTCCCAACAACCCCACTGTTGTTGCTGTTGTGCCATTAGTCCTTCAGAAAAAAAAATAAAATTAAAATAAAAACAAAGAACAAATATACTTAGCAGCCATTAATGTGACTGTTCCTCACACAGGTACAATGCAGTAATTACATGCATACATGTACATCTCAGGCCCATTGGATGCAAATTTATTATTGCACAAAACATTTTTGCATCATTAAAATTGTTAGGTTACCTCAAGGTCTCTAAGGACAGGGTGCTCCTCGATGCCAGGGAACAGAACTCGCATGGTGTATGTGCGGTAGTCCAGGAATGGAATACCAGCTCCATCCAGATCGCTGGTCAACTCGTGAATGTCTGTCTGCAGCTCTGCAAAAGCTGCGGAAGACACATAACATGAAGAACAAATAGGTTGAGGTCACTAATAAAAAAAATTCACCGAAACTTGAAAATGTTCTGTGCGACAGTGGCGAGGGCTAAATTAGGGCCAGGTTGGCACTGGTCCACTCAATCAAATGGGACACAAAATATTATTATTATTTTTTTTTTTTTTTTGTGGAAAAGAAGAAAAATACTGCATACATGACAATGTCCGCTCAAATACATAAAACATTAGAACTACCTGCATGTGTAAACATTTAATAAGATCCTAGTAGATAAAGTGCTGATCTTCCAGTTGTGCGCTTCTATTCTAAATGCAAGAGCTGTCAATCTGAGTGATGAATCCAATCCAAGTACACTCCTACTTCAAAAAAAAAAAAAAAAAAAAAAAAAAGACCCTGATTGGTCCTTACTCATTGTTTATACACTATACACACACCATACCGGAGATGCATTGACCTTTCCAAAGTTGTCAAAGGACATTAGAAAACACTGCATCGTCGTCATCATTGAGACACCATCATATCTCCGATGTCGTATAGCTTTAGCAAAGCAGCATGTAATGCCCCTGTGATGATTGTCTTAGGTTGTCTTTGGGTGCTACTATGTTCTACTGTGGTTTACTAATGTTTGGTGAAGCTACAAACTAAAGTGCGGCCCGAATTCCTAAGGTATATACTGTTTACATATACTTGGTATTGTCTGGTCTCTACCTGAAATTATGCTTGTTCTATTCTACTAGTTGAGACCCTTCCTACAATATATGACACAAGACTATTAACATATCACATTTTCAAGTAAAGACACATTTATTCTCAATTTAGGCATATATTTTTTGGCTCATATTTTTGACCTTTTCAGACAAAAAGGTCATTTGCATTGCTATTTTTATCTCATGCATTATAAAATGTAGGCACTGAGGTCCACCCAATATATTTCTCCAAGGTCCACTTTCTGCTGTGCGTATGTCTTGGAACTGATGCAGAGGCTGTTTCTAAGTATTTTTATTACTGTTTCAAGGATTTTGTGAATCCGAGCAAGTTCTAACTCACAATCTGAATTGACATCACTTTGTTAATCCAATTCCCCTCAAGACTACTTACCCTCTTTACACTCTAAGGCTACTCTGGACTCCAGGTTGTCCATCTGCATCTGCAGCCGCTTGAGGGTGAGGTCACTCTCACGGGACTTGCGTTTGTAGGCAATGAGGACAATGACAATGAAGAAGATAAGGAGGCCTCCTGCACCTGCAATGCTGATGACGGCAGTGCTGCTGAGAGGGCTGTCAGAAGTGATGTGAACCACACCTGGAGAAAACTCGATGCCACCAACACGAGCCTAAAAAGGAGCACATTTTGCTTAGGTTTTGGTAAAAATCATTACTTTGTGCTGTATTTAAAATCAATACTCTGTAGTATCTTGTTCAATAACTTAATGCTATGATTTGCATCCAATCAAAATACATCTAGGGATGGAGATATTTTATTTTATGTTATTTGTGTTAGTGTGTAGTAAGGCTAAACAGCAGACGGGTACAATGTGTCTGTTCCTTTTGCGAGTTCATGACTGTAAGGGGCTGTTGCACTTTCTCTTGTACGACTGTCAACAAGTAGTGGAGCATACGAGTTTTATTAGGTTTTTCAGCTCTAATAAGTCCTACTGGGGATGTATTTTTTATTTACATGTATGTAGCCTCTCAGAAAGTAAAATAACCACCTAAAGCATTAGGTCACTGTGAAAAGTCGATATGTTGGACCAGAACTTACCAGAACCTTGTGACGGCCGGTCAGATTGGGCGATTCACAGAGCAATTGAGTATCTGATACAGTTAATGTGCAAGGTTTATCTCCAATCAGAACAGTGTAATTGAGCTTCCCATTGCCACCCGGGGCTGGAGGGAGAAAGTTCCTACCCTGAAATTCACATTCACAAACACATGTAGCAACTGCATATGTGGAAAATCGAAAGACAAATAATGCAGAGATTTAGGTTAATACTTGATTTACCTTGAGTATGATGGGAGACCCTGGCTTGAGCTCCTGGACCCCAGACACACTAAGCGGTTCAAACACTGGATTCGGGTAGTAGATGAAGTTGGTGTTGTTGAGGGCCAGCACAGACTGAACATTGTCCAGGATGAAGCCAAACTCATCAGGTCTCTCTGGCAATTCCTTCTGCCTGCTTAGACTGTAGGGAAGCTCTGGGGCCATGCACTGCATAGTGGTGGGACTCAGAACCTGACATATCTGGAAGGGGGACATAGATTTGTTGATCATATTTGCTGTAGGTGTGTGATTCAGAATAAAACAGACACATTTAGATTCAGATTAAGAACAATATTACATTTACATGGCAAACAATAATTCAGACTGTTTTAATTAGTGCACTGTAAAAAAATATTGATGGTTTAACTTAAAAAAGTAAGTAACCTGGTTGCCTTAAAATTTTAAGTTCATTGAACTGGAAAAAAGTGAGTTAATACAATGAAGGACATTAATTTAACAATCAGAAACTCAAAATGATATGTTATCTGAACTAAATAAATTATTTAAGTATATTTGACAAAAGAAAAAATGTTATGATTATGTCAAATAAAAAGACCAGGATTTGACCTCAACGTCCTACAATGGAGGTTTCTAGCGCTCATTTTTCTCAACAAAGCAGTACTAAATTATTAGCACTTTTAAAATGGTCACACTCTGATTGTGCCTGCAGTGCTGGCAACGAACTGCGCTCACCTCTACCTCCTTGAGAGAGATTTGACATTGACATTTCTCCTTGACTCTGTCTTTCATCTCCTTTTTTTCCATTTCTCACATAGATAGACCACATATAACCTGCAGCTAAATGCTGCAATCAAACCATTTATAATACTTAATCCCTTACATATTATTTACATGAAGTCAATGTTTCTCAGATTATTTATTTACTTTCCCCCCTTATTTTTTATTAGGCGGTCAGGATTATTAAATGTAAAGTTATGGCATAGGCTACAGTAATTCAAACCTATATGCACATTCCCTTTGAAGTGTATAAATAAATTACCTAACAAGATCCTTGAGTTTTGTGAAACCAACTGCTTTTCAGTTGACTATTAAAACACCCAGACAGCACTCGCCATCAAAAACATCCCTACAGATATCTCTAGTCATTTTAATTGGATTCCTCACAAAGCTGTAGCAGCCAGGAAGAAAAACGAACCTTCACTTCCTCTAACACAAAGACTTCTATAGAAGGTTGTAACGGGTGGAACTGTTCAAGATAAAAGAGATTTCAAGTCACCATTTTTATTTCAATGCACAAAGTCTGGTCAAACTCTTTTCAGACTAGTTATGAGCGATAGCATTACAAACAAGGATACAGGGCACCTTGTTCCCCACAAACAACTTCTTTCAGAGACTGCGAGGCAGGGTATGACACTTTTTTTTCTGCTGTGCTTTGAGGAGCAGTGTGCCAAAGCCTAATCATATCGCAGCCCAGATGCTAAACGCGGCCATGTGTGAGATACGTGCATGAGATAACATTACGGTCTTTTGTCTCTGTAGCCTTTCAATCAGATCTCACTGAGTGCAGCCTCCCATGGCTCTTTGGGTCCATTCTGTAGACGGGGAACATGATACCCTTGTCTATGCATCCACCCTGTGTTATGACATTCTCCTCTTTCCTGCACAAAGGGTACATTGCTGCTACTGCTGCTGGGACCTGGCAGTCTTCCTGTTCTCTGTCTGTTTCTTTGTCTCTCTCTCTATTTCCCTCTTTCATGCAGATACTGTCTTGGATCCAATGGTGTGCAGCCGACACAGGTGATCGGAGCAGGTGGAATAGTCTGCTAATGGTCATTCCAGTTCACTAGCCTCAGGATAGGTGAAGGCCGAGCGATCGTTTACTGTGTGGAAAACGTTTGCACTTACGTTGACCGTCTCCGAGTTCTTATACTTGGCTCTGATGAGAGGAGTCTGGATGATGTCCAGGTTTGTCCCGGTCACAGTCAATGGTGTGTTGCCACTGGGAAAACACCATTATTTATTAACTTTCACTTTTTGAAGTTTTTAACTTTGCAAACATTTCCTAAAACTAGTTGGTCAATTTAATCATTTAATAAAATAATATGTAGATACAATTTTTTAACCATATAATGTCCACAATGATATAAGTCCAAAATGGAAAAAAATAAAAATAATAATAAATTCTTGATCCTCCTCCCTCATCTTAGGGTCTTGGACAATGTTATGGGCAGTTTTCCCAACGACCCCGTCACAAATGGCTTTGTAGTACACACACCTGAAAATGCTCCACTCAGGTTCAAGTTTGGTGATTGTGGGATCTTCCACATACTCAAACTTGAGATCTTTGTGAATGTGGGCTTTATCCACGAACACCGATACAGACACATTTCCGTAGCCTTGCATGGAGGCATGAGAACGACACGTTATCCACTGTCCTCCTCTCCTGTATCATCAAACAGAAGAAAAAAAACAATCACCAAGTTTTTCAGATAACTAATGCATGAATATTTAATGTCTCTTATCCATTGTCATCTATTATATGTGTATTGATACCCGTTTAGGAATTTGCTTTTGTATTATTCAATGGCTGTATAGAGTATTCCCATTAAAGAAAAGATTACTAGACCTAATTTAATCTTTCACTCATATGATTAGACACTGTGGCTATCTCAAGCAAGAAGAAAGTGATGGCTATGGATGTTATTGATTAAAAATCAGAAACTCTAAATCTGTTAAGATCAGTATTGACTTTCTCTTAGAGGCTTTGAGTGACCTGCAAACGAACCAAAAGAATGATACCACCTCAACAGGGCATTGCACTGTACTTTTCCATTCAACCCTACCTTTGATAGGTACACTTCTGGTCTTTGAACATGATTGACACATTGCTGCCCGCGTCCAAGTTGCTGCCGGTGATGTTGACGATGGTGCCCCCAGATACTGGCCCTCGACTCGGCTTCAGACTCAACAGTCTAGGGATCTGTAGAAATCAAGATCAAAACAACCAATAGGAATTATTTACAAGCTTACAAATCACACCGCAGAGGTAAGGCGGCAAACCCTCATGTTTTTCAATCATCTGTATCTCTTTTCCAATCTGATTATCACCTCCTTTTTCTCAGAACACCAATTGCCCTCCTCACCCAAGAATCACATAATCCAATTACTACATATGAATGAGACATAAAAGCCATTAATGTTTGCATAAAACTGATAAATGCTATAAATGGCTCCATAACAAGAAAAATGACACTGCAGCTCAATTCATTTGGATGGCTGGATCACAATATGATAATGGCTGTTATATCAGCATGTGCACTGGGAGTGCTAGAAGGAAAAGTGTAGCATGGATATAAAAATGAGTATGGTCAGTGTTGTGCAAGATCCTTTCCTTCACAGAATCATTTTGAAAGATATTTTAATTGTTCTGAAATCCTACAAAATTTCTTTATCATGTATGTGGTCTCAACCATTGAATTATGTTCAAAGCAGCAATAAATGGTTTTCTCAGTTGGTAAGCATGGCATAATGATAAATGATTTACCTGCTTATGGGTTTAGGTGCTGCACCATATTTTCTTCAAATTAATAATAATAAAAACAAGCATATATTTGCGTTATTCATCAATTGTTTTAATAATTCAAGATCCAAAAGGAATGTAAAACTCACAAAGTAACGCCTGTGCAAAGAGAGGCATGATCCTGTGGGAGGAAAATCTTGCACAACAGCAGTAATAAACTGCAAGTTTTATGGCTAGCCTCTCCGGATGTTGACCAAACATTTGGTGGGGTCAAGTGGTCGGTGATATGACTAAGTACATCAGCAGGGCTACAAGGCCATAGTGTTCACTCTTTATTAGAGACACAACTCAAATCCAAGCACTTTCAACCCTGAAGTGGCAAAGACTTTTAATTATACAGACATGATTAAGATCATGGCAGATGGACCAGCAGTTCATTGAGGGTTATTTGCTGAGGTACTCACCACAAAGTAGTAGTACTTAGACGACTTGGCCATGAACTCGGGACGACACTCTCCGACGCACACTTGGACGTTTCCAGCAAACTGGCTTCTCTCCGCTTTTCCCATTTCACACACAATCCTGTAAAACACACACAATAAATCTAGCAGAACAGTTACACAATAACAAAAAAAAGTTTATGAAACATTAAATGAGGCATTTTAAAAATGTATCTCCCTGCCATAATAATACATGCAGGAGATAAACGGTTAATATGAATGAGTTATTCTGCCACCTCATTCCATGGCAGGTGTCAAATTTGCTCACCACGCTAAGAGGCTTACCACGGCGTACATATAATAATAACAATAAACTTGTGCTGGCCCAACTTGCAGCAAAGAAACGTAGAATGAAAGAGGTTTTTTTCACGTCAGGACAATTATACTGAGGAAGTTTTCATGCTGTCAGCAGGGCTTTCTCGAATTCTAGCCAAACACATAATTATTTTTTGCTGTCCTGACCAGAGATTAAAAATTTCTTCAAAGCTTTCTCTGTGTTTACTGCTAGTTCACATCAGCCACTTTTAAAAGACGCTGGGTACTTAACAACTATTAGCAGGCATGCATTACACAAACTCATCTGCAAAAAAACAACCGTTTGAAGCGATTCAAGCGATTCAATGCCATCATTTAGTCCAGTTAGTCATTAGATCCAGGTCATTATGACAAAATTACAAAGAAGGTTCAGATCTAGCCTAGTACTACAGGAAACAGGAAAAGTGGCACAACACTTACTGTTCTGCTGGGATATATCCCTCGGGTACTGGTGTACACTCCACATCTGCAACCTTCACGTAATCCTTAATCTCACTGAACTCCAATCCCAGGTTCTCACCACGGATAGTCACCAGCGTTCCTCCCTCACGGGGTCCTCGAAGCGGGGTGATCTGTAGACGAGACGCAGGGAAGCGTTACGTGCAATCATTCCCATAAGGTAAGAAACAACATGGCGGGCTCTCACAGCCCCCCTAGCATCTCCATCATTGGTACAAACCAACAGGAAGTGGAGAATGACTCAGCAACCGATTCCTTCATGCACCTGCAGGAGTCAGTGATTGTGAGACGGTGTGAGGGACGAGAAACAGCGAGAATAGCTGTGAGTGATTTGGTTCAGTGGGATAATTGGGCCACTCTCTGTCAGAGCGTCAAAGCCTGCGTGCTTACGGTGAATAATGATCAGCCGCACAGCCAGCTGAGCCAGCCGAGCCCTGCCTATAGCAAAAACAAAGCCATGCTAATTTATGAACACAGAGTCGGCGGCTGGGAAAAAAAATATGCCGACACCAGCATGTGAAATCATACGCTGCTAAGATTGGAATATAAACACAGGCGTGCACGAGGATGCTTATTTTCCTCTGTGCATGTCAGATGATGAAACACCTTTTATTCTTTGCTCCTCGGGATGCTAAGCAGTACTGCATCCGGCTGATTAGAGTATCTAATCTTATCTGATTACTAACATATCTGTTAGTAGTATCTCTCGAATCGTCATGCTTTCACTGGTATCATACCATTAACACAAGACACACTTGGCAGGGATTCATTAAACACTGTTAAAGAATACATTTATGGTGCATTAAAATGTAACGACTAAAAAGGATCACCCTTAATAACTTAATTGGCAATTCATGTGGCATAAAACATATCTTGTGATGTGAAGACCCTGCTCTGTAAGGTTATAATTAAGCACCGTAAGAAATATCCATATGGCCATAGCAGAACCAAGTTGAGTATGCGATTCGTGAATGCAAGATTTAGTAGCACAATTCATTTTTAGCATGTAAAACTCAAAACGTATAACACTAACACTTAACATATTACATGTAACTGCAAAAAAGTAAATAAACAGCATTTGATGACCTCTGACAACACAAACCTGCCAAAACTGAGAGGAGATGGACAGAAAGAGAAGAAAAGCTACAGTAGCATGCAATTCATTCCCACAGTGCATTTCTGTGAATACTTTTGTGAATAATATAGGTCACTGTTTAGCCAAAATCACACAAGAAGAACATCTCTTTTAATGAGTGTCTATCCATCAACACTATAAAAAGAGCCTATCAAACATATTCTGACAGTCTTGAACCACGTGTCTAAGGTCGGGCCTCATAAGTGTATTGACAGCTGGGCTATTAGGCCAAATGTAGGACACCCATTCTTCATCTTGGCAAAACGAGGGTCTGTCGGATCCCAAAGGGGAATATAGACATGTTAACATCTTGGCTCTATCATTATTTCCTGCCAGATAATGATCCAACTTTAGGTTAGAGATCTCATTAGCAGCACGGTAAGAGGTAATTTCACTTTAACCCATCACATGTACTGATCTTAGCAGAGAGAGGTTCAAGTTTTTCCACAGGTTCTTTATTGGCTTCAGAGCACTGTGGTAATATCGATATCCAAATGGCTCTGACTGATTTTAAATATGCCAGTGTAATATGAACAACCCTATCTAGACAAAAAAATGAAATTGAAGTATTTTATAGTTCTGTCATAACTTATCTCTCCAGTAATCCAGTTTAATCAGTCTTCCTCTTTTATGATATCATATGATATCAATGTCTTTACAAAACCCTTAGGGCCTTATAGCTTCATGCGACCGGTTTGAGTTACAATATACCGAACGATTTTTTTAAATGAAATAACAGACCCACTTAGGTGGTTTACTGGAAAGTCACTGTAAAATTGCAACCTTCTGCTGAGAGAATGAAGCAGGGGTGTAAATGAATATGAAAGGGAGAGAGAAACAGTAGTCTCTTTTCATTAGGAGATGGGGAGCTGATTAGATTTGTGACTTTGACAAGCTAATTGACGGTTGTTGGAGGAAAAACACTTAATCACCATCCACTTCAATGTCAGAGAAAGATTCCTCATCTACAATGTCACAGTAATAGAGTGCATCAGAATACATTACGACCTGTGAGCCGATCAATTGAAAGAAAGACGCAGAGAGTGATAATCAGAGAAAGTGAGAGTATTTATGAGGCATGAGGAGAGCTCCGATCTACAGATGAGCTCAGTCCAGGACTTCCCTTTATACTACTTTGCTTGTCTTCCATTTCTGTCTTTCAATGTGTTAAATGGCTATTAGAACCGCAGCAATGATCAAAGGAGCACTGATGATGTTAAGGGACAGTATAGTGACCAACTTTAAATGGATTGTACATTTGTAAAACAAAATCTAGGTACATTCGCAGAGTGATTTTATTAGTGCTCAAAGTATTACACTTTAGTCCATAACTTGCTGTTTGTACTACCGACAATGATAATTGTGCGGCTTGTTTTGAGGATTTAACTTTTCTAAGAGATTGGACACAAGATTTTTTGTCTGACGGATGATACATTATTGTATAGACAAAACATCAGAGAGACTAGAAAATACCCAGATGATATTAGCAACTAGACAGCAATGCCTTGCCTTGACAACCACCAAAACCACCCTATAGCATCATGGCGGCAACTTTCACTGGAGCAAGTTCCACAAATATAGTAATTTATGTCTAGTTTCTTCGAAATATTTTGAGCAGTGATCTCTTTGGCTCAAACTGGCTACAGACAGAACAGAAGATGATGATGAGTTTGGCATTTTGCTATATATAATTAGGCCATTCACATCCACTACATTCAATACTTCTATAATTTTCTGTGAACGAACGGTTCCATGTGCCATCAGGTTTCTGCGTTTGATTAATAAGCTTCAGGCACATCTGCTGTCCGTCATTCAGAGCCTGTGGCAAACAAGTAGCATTTCCCTTTCTGCTATGTTCATCAATCATTTTGATGGGGGGGTGCTACAGATGGGTTTGGGGGTGCAGAGGCTTCTATGTTCCTCCTTTCCTCCATCCATCCTTTCACTCTCAGTTTTCCGCCCAAGGTCGCACTTCCATCATATCTCTTTCAGCAATGCACCCATCTGTTCATCCTTCACCTTTTCTTTCCCTTAATATCAACGGTTCATCTCCACAATGATGGTTAACCATAAAACATGCATATGTCAGTGAGTACAGCTGAGATATTTATTTATGTTACAATGATTTTATTGTACCTGTGGAATGTGATATCTCCATTGAGAATCTTTTCACTTCTAAACCAGTCATAAAAGGCCTGGCTGTGGGAGTGACCTATATATACTGTATAGAGTGGTGTCCAAAGGTCTGAGACCAAATTGAAAATTATTCGTAACCATGGTAATTTTACATTTACATTTTCATAATTTGTAATAATGCTATAAAAATAAATATCTCAGGTAGTGACCTCAGACTTTTGGAACCCACTTTGTGTTACAGTATGCTTTCATATGTACTGGTGCACCATAGTTTTACCTTTGTGATTCTGGGGTGCGTGCACTTGCTATTGATGCCATTGTGCTCGAGCCACATGCTCTGCGGGTGAGGACAGTGCTGTTTCAGAGAGCAACGGTTCTCTCCCTTACACCACACACAGCCAAACAGAGGGTCCGCCTTCAGACACAGTCCACAGCTCTCCCGACGTGCGTCACACTTGTACAGGTGCACTGGAGATACAGGAAGGGCAAAGGTCAAGTCATGTTGGGAAACCCATGGGACACTGATCAAAGCAATTTGCAGCAATGGCCAAAAATATTTCTAAAAGAATGGTTTAACTATAGAAAAGATAACATATTCCCCTATTTTCTTGCTTCATCTCAGCTCTAAAGATAATTGCTCCTCTTCTCTGCTCTCTGGTACAGTGATATTATGTTTCATCTCCATGGCAACCAGACAGGCATTTTTAATTGCTATTAGATGCTTGTATGATCCGTCCATCAATTGCTGCCCCCGGAGTGGCTCCCCCTCAGCGGGAAGCAAGGGAGGAATCTCACATACTTTACTTCCCCTCTTAAATTAGCCTAACCTTCACACAGCACTTTAATAACACACTCACATGCATTCGTGCTATGTTCATTGATTTGACTTAAAGCTGGGGGCATGTTTAACTTTAATCCAAATCCATTTCATATCAATGAAAATGTTTTTAGAACTTCTAGTCTTGGCATTGGGCTCAAACTGTCTCTGCAATAAGTCTGAATTTCCTTTAATGGTCAGAGCATCTTTTTAAGTGCAAAAAATCATTTTCTTAATCAGTATGTTTGTCTTGTTTTCCAGTAAAAACAGCTAAACATCCACTTGAGAAAAAATCATGATTCAGTTTCTTTTTCTTACCCCATTAGCAAATTGTCTTTGAGCAAACATCGGAGCAAAAAAGATTAAATATTATATATAATAATAATATAATATGCAGTACTACATATACAGTGATGTGAATGAGTTTGGACAACCATGCTAAAGTTGCCTAAAAAGAAGAATAAAAATTATCTTTTGGAAATTGATCTTAATGCCTTAATTAAAAAAAATGAAGACAAATCCAACCTTTAAGGACACCAATTTTCTTTTTGTATGAATAATGTATCATAAATAAATAACTGTTCTTTCCCTAAATACAGGGTGTACAAGTCAGTTATGAAATAAGTTTCAACATGAATTCAACATAGGGGTGTCCTGACATAAGCGCCCTGTATTTTAAGGAAGAACATTTACAGTATTTATAATACATTATTCATTCACAAAGAAAATTGGTGTCCTTAAAGGTTGGATTTTTCCTCATTTTTTTAATGAAGTCACATCACTGTATTATTTAAATATATTATAAACACAATTAAGATATACATTCCCCTAAAGGATTATTAGGAACACCATACTAATACTATGTTTGACCCCCTTTCGCCTTCAGAACTGCTTTAATTCTACGTGGCATTGATTCAACAAGGTGGTGAAAGCATTCTTTAGAAATGTTGGCCCGTATTGATAGGATAGCATCTGGCAGTTTATGGAGATTTGTGGGATGCACATCCAGGGCACGAAGCTCCCGTTGCTCCACATCCCAAAGCATCTGGTGACTGTGGGGGCCATTTTAGTACAGTGAACTCATTGTCATGTTCAAGAAACCAATTTGAAATGATTCAAGCTTTGTGACATGGTGCATTATCCTGCTGGAAGTAGCCATCAGAGGATGGGGACATGGTGGCCATAAAGGGATGAACATGGTCAGAAACAATGCTCAGGTAGGCTGTGGCAATTGGCACTAAGTGGCCTAAACGTTAAAGGGTACCATAAAACGTCGGATGTTGACGTATGGTCAAAAGCGTCAGTTAGATGACTTCTTGGGATGATAATGGGCTGGTTTCCACCAAATTCTGACTCTACCATCAACAGAAATCGAGACTCATCAGATCAGGCAACATTTTTTCCATTCCAACTGTCCAATTTTGGTGAGCTCTTGCAAACTGTAGCCTCTTTTTCCTATTTGTAGTGGAGATGAGTTGTACCCGGTGGGGTCTTCTGCTGTTGTAGCCCATCCTCTTCAAGGTTGTGCGTGTTGTGCCTTCACAAATGCTTTGCTGCATACCTCGGTTGTAACGAGTGATCATTACAGTCAAAGTTGCTCTTCTATCCGCTTGAATCAGACGGCCCATTCTCCTCTGACCTCTGGCATCAACAAAACATTTTTGCCCACAGGACTGCCGCATACTGGATGTTTTTCCCCTTTCACAACATTCTTTGTAAACCCTAGAAAGGGTTGTGCGTGAAAATCCCAGTAACTGAGCAGATTGTGAAATACTCAGACCTGCCCGTCTGGCACCAACAACCATAGCACGCTCAAAATTGCTTAAATAACCTTACTTTCCCATTCTGACATTCAGTTTGGAGTTCAGGAGATTGTCTTGACCAGGACCACAACCCTAAATGCATTGAAGCAACTGCCATATGAACCGAAATTGAACCGCCGTTCCTAATAATCCTTTAAGTGAGTGTATATAATTATATCAAATTATGATCAGACAAAAAATATTGATTATGAACAAATGGATGGTTTTGGCATAGTTAAGACATCAGAAGCTGTGGAAGGGTTTATATTGGATTTCAGTTTGTACTGGGTTGAGTTTAAATACATTATATTCGGTCATATCCGTCATTATGTCTCTTTAGAAGGTGTTTGTTGGCTACAGGCCTCTGACTGGCCTTTCTAACAGGTTCATTTGAACACTTAAATACTATGGTAGATCTAATGAGGTGCAAAGTTATACACAGGGAGAGGATGAAAGGTGCAAGCATGAAAAAAAGAGAGAGAAATAAAGAGATGATGAAGAAGTTAAGCAGAAACCGAGCCTATCTGCAGTCAACTCCACCAGGATGTAAGGGGATGGATGCTGCAAGTCTGTTGCCATGGAGACTGAATCCAGGGGTACTAGCAGGGCTGCTGGGTCAGAGACCTCACCTTTGTTTTGGGCCGGGTTGTCAATGCTGAAATCTCCGTTCCAGATGACCATCAGATCAACAGGGAGGCTGCTCATCTCCATCCCATCGTACAAGTACTTTAGCCGTGGGAACGAGAGAGAGAGAGAGAGAAAGAGAGAGAGAGAGAGAGAGAGAGAGAGAGGCACAAATTTACTATTTTTTTTCACTGGAAGAATGCTTTTATCATTCTTGGCAGGTTCATCCTCGGGTAAGTCATCACAGCACACAGTGGAGAGGACTCCAAAATCCCTACACTGCTGATGCTGGGAGAACAAGCAAACATGCACTAAATATTCAGGGCAGAATGCACTTGTGACTAAAATAAGCCGCTCTTACACAATTTCCAAACAACCAGTCCCTTTTATCATGTCTATGACTTTTTGTGTTGCTTAAAATTCTGCGCCTTGTTTCTGAGAGTACCCTTGTGTCCACAGACAAATTCGCTGAAACGTTTTCTTAACACACTTAATACCCACACACACAAACACACAGTCTTACCGATGTGTTCTGACACTGTACACTGGAGCTGTTGAAGCGGAGGGCAGGAACTCTCTGCTCCACACCCTGAATGGTGAGCACACACTCGTACCCCCGCTGGCCCGACTGTGGCTGGGGGAGGTTCTTGGCCCGAAGGGTGATGGGTTTCACTACATTCACTGGAACAAGGATACGATCTGCTGGAAGGAGCTGAGGACATTCCTGCATGAGAAGAACAAACTGCAAGGTCACAAATTGTAAGTATCAAAAGATACAAGGAAATCCCTTAAAATATGTCAGAGTGTCCCTGGTGCTTCGTTTAGGTTGAGCCTAATAAAACCTTAAAATAGGTGTGGGCCTGTTCTTAGTATCAAAAAATCTTTCTTGACTGCTCACTGGGCTGAAAGGTAGGGCCAATAACGATGGTCTGAAGCTTATTAGCATGGCTGAATTGCTCTGGGGCACAGTTTAAAAAGTCATTATAGATCATTTGACAGCCTATCTATAAAACGAAAATAAAAGTGAGTGCTGTTAATTCAAGCAGACAAAAAGATGAAATTTAAAAGGGAGAAAGAGGATAAAGAACTTTTCAGTGTATTGTTTTCTTTCTAAGTCCCTAACTACACTCTAAATGACTGATGTAATGTTTCTTTCAGATACTATGGAAGAAACCAACGAGGTGGCGCAGAGTAGTATTTATGCAGTGGAGGAAGTGCTCAGGCGGCTTTTGTAAGATGAATATGAAACAGAATGCAGATTGAATACTGAGTGTGAATTTATAGATGTGGCCATGTCCGACTGCAGCAAGGTAATATTGTGTATAGGCATGAGGTTGGGCCTTAAACCCCTTTTCAGTTTAACCTTCATTCAGAATATTTACAGTACAGGAGACACTCAGTCTTTCAGTTTACTGCACACAAGCAAGGGAGAAATTTAGACACTTAAAGGAGAACTCCGGCGCAAAATGAACCTTTGGTCTAATAACACATTGCTACCTAATCAACCGTTCTCTGAGATCTGTTTTCATGATAATAGAATATAAAGAGTTTTATCTCTAAAAACGGTTTAGCTTATAACGCTAGTATATAGAGCATACAGTAATGAAAAATAAAACAAATCGCTATCTAATACCACTAACAAGGCTCAAAATAGCCCCACACTAACACAGCAGCATAATGGGGGTCCCTACATGCAAACTGAAGCATTGAGAACGTTGTAAGTGAACAGACAATTTATTAAGAAGATATTTTATTAAAGACAGTCAACTTCACGTATACAGGCAGGAGCCATCTTTGAAAAACAGTCTTGACCAGTCGAACCACGAACGCCGTGCCAACTGTGACTTGTAATCTCAGATGGTCCGTTGTTTTCGGAAGAAAGCACTGAGCACATAAGAGAAGCCCTGAACGCATAAAAAAAAGAGACTTCCAAAAGATACACACTAAAGAGATGGCGGATTAAACTAGTGGTGTACCTGCGGACATTGTGAAGCTATGGACACTGAAGAGGAGTGATTGTGTTGCACCAACCCGGTCTCATCCCAAGACGTCATATAACTGACGTTTTGGGACGTCTTTTGACCATACGTCAATATTCGCCTTTTTAGGGCCCCCTTAAACGTCGGTAGATGAGGTTATGGGATCCTAACTCTACCCCATACCTTAACCTAACCCTAAACCTAACCCGTCACCTAACTGACGTTAAAGGTAAAGCGTCAGTTGTATGACGGCCCGGGATCGCCATCTACCGACGTTTAAGGGGGCCCTAAAAAGGCGGATATTGACGTATGGTCAAAATACGTCCCAAAACGTCAGTTATATGACTTTTTGGGATGAGACTGTGTTAGTTGCACAGAGCGGGACCTGTAGAGTCGCGACACCCAAGAGAAGCGTTTTGTACAGTCTGAAGATTTCCCTGCTCTGATAAACAAGGCTGTACTTGCAACTTTTTTCCATGTCCTGAAAATAAACTGGTGGCGGCGACCTCTTTGGTACCAATGTGTCGTGCCAGATTTTGTGCCGGAGTTGTCCTATAACTTAACATGCCAAATAAACAAATACACCACCCACATGCATAATTACAGTCTTAAATAAAACATCAAAGACACTCCCTCCACACTGACCATCATATCTCCACCCACACAGGCTCCAGATATTAAAGTCATCAGTAAAAGACGAGAGTAGTGCAGCCCTACACTGACCCAGCCAATTCAGCCAATGTTTTGGTCTCTAAATCCTCATTTAGAGCCCCTGCACCTTGATGATAGCTACACAGCCCCATGGTCTACAAAGGCCTTTCTAAGTCCTTTCCCAGACCACCCTCCAAGGATTTATCTCCCTATTACACTGATATAATGTGAACATGTTTATTGGCAGCAGTTTCAGTCATAAATAAGGCATGACAAGGGAAAACCGCCCACTAAAACACCAATATCTTTGTCCATCCACACCCAAGTCTCTTCAGCCTGCCCTTTCTTCTTTGGGGAAGGTGTCTGGCCAGCCCCCCCCCACTCTCCACCCCCCCCCCCCCTCCACGCCTCTTATTGACGGATGAGCAGGGCTCTGCTGGCAGCTTTATGCGGAGGGAGATTGACTCCAAGCATAACAACAGTATAATTGAAGGCTGGGAGGCACTAATATGGAGTCTTCAGAGACACTGAAGACTAGGGCTGTTTTTGTCAGGCCAGGTTATTGAGTATTTACAAGGAGGCCGAGAAGAAAGGACAGAGATGTATACAATGAGAGAAAAAAACGGGACGGGAACAATTGAAACACACTCTATTGCTGATATCTAAACATAAGACCTTTCCTAACCTAAACCTAACCTTTCTGAACGATTTCGCATGAATGTCGGCAAGATTTTTTGATGGGTTATGCCAAGTCGCCCATATTGACCCAACAACATCATGGTCAGAGCCTTTACACCACTTTACCCCACCGGCAACAAACTAGATCTTGTGGTATTGCTGCTTTGAACTTAACTGAAGCAAATCAAAAAAGTGGCCACACTTCCTGTCTTGAGGCTCAGAAAGAGAGCCAGTGTCTGTTGAGTCCATGAAGAAAATGATTCCTATAGCCTCGAGCCAGATATGAGCTAAAGAGTCTTACTGGAAGAGATGTTAACTAAAATATTGCAGAGACGGTAATTCAAAATGCATTCATGTGACAAATGACTTGACATTGCGGTTTCCTTCCTTGTCCGTGACGCGTGTCAAATCTGACAAGACGTGCCCGAGGCGGATCATTTGAGGTGGGAAAACAAAGCAGGGTTTGATAAAAAAAAAATGGAAATTATCATTATAAATAGGCATTTTACAGATAAAAAAAAAGGCTCTTGAGAGTGTTTACAGTCTTGGTCTGAGCAAGAGAGGCCCGAGGGTGAGTTGAAGCATAATGATGTGTTTGTCAAAGGGACGTGGAGTGAGGCAGACAGCAATTGGGCTCTCAATTGTTTACTACCTGGGGGAGGGGGTTGCATTCAACTGACTGCAGCTGAATCTCCAACGTCTCAGAACAGGACTGATATAATTAGACACTGAGGAAAGAGATACTGTAGGTGGGGAAAAGATTTAAGTTCAGTGCGTGCACTTCGGTTAGAGATGCGCCGAGACAAAGATAGTCATTGAGTGCGAGCGGGAAGGAAGACGCCCTGGCACAGAGAACAGAGGGTAGCGAGCTGGCATGGAGTGATAGATCCATAATTAGAGCTGTTTGAGTATCTATGCATAATGGCAGCGTTCAGTCGGGTAGAAGATGAAACGCCTAATTCTCTCCACAGCTCTCGTGGTGTTAGCTGGATGATTACCGAGGCTTCCCTGCACTCCTTGTGCTTTAACGTACCTCCTTACCGCCAAAGGCAAAAACCCTCCTCTCTCGTTCCTTGCCCCATTTCACTTCCTGCGGCATCACACATGCTCTCATCCTCTCACACCTCTGACATTTCCTTTCTTTCATCTGTTTGTTTTCACTCTCACTCCCCTCACGAGATGGTATTTTCTTTATCTTCCACCTCGATCTAAATGATTTTTTACCTCAAAGTTTCTCCCCCCGAGGAAGGCAAAGGAGAGAGGCCATCTCATGGTTCTGATCTCAGACCCAAATCCTTCTCTTTACAATCTGCAGCTCGGATGTACAAAGCCGCCAATTGTGCCTGTCAATTAACATCTTAAGATGGTAGAGAGTTCACTGTATCGATCAGTTCCTGTTTCCCACACCTCTCCTTTTCTTTCTAATGCCTCTTCTACAATATTGTTCCAAAATTTAATGAGCTACCACACTTTTTCCTGTCTTTATGCAGCTTCCTTCTAAGGCAGCATATTAACAGTCATGGAAACTCAAAAGACTGATTTGGATCACTTTACATGGACGACAAGTCAATGACATAAATAGTTATCCTCATGCCAAGTGCGTGGACGACTCCACTCACAATTGATTTCAATACACATAAAGTGAAAAAGGTACTTTGTGTTGAATGGTTAAATTTCAATCATTGAAAACATTTTACTTTACATTTACATTTATATTTGTGTACAAAACTAATTGCATGTATTTAAGCTTGATTTTAAAGGTTTATATGTTAATGGGAATTGGTCTAGGGCCAAGCTTTTGACGTTTAGTGTATCTATTATTCAAAATCACACCACAATTTCACATTACCTGTCAGTAAGGCATGCTATAAACAGGCACTTTGCAATTTCTAAAAAGAGGTAAAAAGCCAAGCAGAAGTTGGAAGTTGTTTTCTAAAGTGCAGTGGACGTCTGGGTTAGGACGGCATGCATTTAGTCATGCATCATTATGCCAGTAGCCAAGAATGAGACATGGGGGATTGACACAGCCAGCAACTGACAGGATTTAGTACACACACTCTAGCCAGATAGTAAATCAAGACTTGTATAGGACAGTTGGAAAACAATATGGACAAACAAAAGCATTATTATTCCATAATTACAAGGAAATATGTCAAGACTTGTATGATTGCAATCAACCACTGAGTTAATCCACTGACAGAACTTACCTCAAAGCATCTGACACACTTTACCCCACAGTTACTATTTTGAAAAAAACGCCTCATTTAATATATATTGGCAAATCTATAACCCCCTCCCCTTCAAAAATAAGAACAAAAAAGTGGCAATTTATTATGCTATTATTAAAATATCATGCTATCTGAACCATCAAGTGATCTACTGTATGTTGACAAAAGACAAAATGTGGTAAAAAATCATGAAAGTTTTTTTTTTTGTTTTTTTTTTTTTTTACAGTGAATGCTAAATACTTTTCAAACGTGCATCTCTCTGAGTATTATGCCATGTTCCCCTACTTTATGTAACAGGATAACATTAATACATTCTGGATATGAGAAACTAACTGAGAAGTGAAAATTGCATCAAATAATAATTTCCTTTGCTGCTGTTGTTAAATGTGTCACACAAATTGAAATATGATACTGAAACAAAGCATACAGCTGAAGAAGACCCGTCAGATATTTAAATGTGAGAGACTGTGAATCGCAGACACAATGTTGGTAAATCTTGCCAGAGACGACATTCGGATGCTGTGACACGTTCTATTTATGAATGTGGACTGCTCTCCTGTGCTCACAGGCACATAATGAAAGGCTCAGACTACAGGGGGGCTTTCTCACTTCCATCATCCATTGAAAGGCAAGTCTGGATTATTCAGATCACTCTCAGCAATCCCTTAATTGGTTTAAAACACAGAAATTCATCTATAGAAGTTCAATGCAAAAGGTCATCTAATTTCTCCAAGCAAAGTTGACTCGTCAGCGTCTGCTCGGAGGATTTGCACAGTAAACATCCCCAGTCATTAATTCTAAACCACCCGGAGTTTGGAAGCGGATCTGAGACCTCCGGTACGAGGGGTTAATGAAATCCAAATTAAACTCATTAACTGGACAAAACACCTGCCTTAAAACAAAAATCAAACAAAAACATCCAGTAGAAATGTCATTAACATGTGCTAATATTCAGTTCCTGCTTTGTGTGCAAGTCGCTCAACACACAATAGGGAATCCTAATATTAAACTGGTCAATATTGACAGCGTGTCCATTTGATAATTGGAACGCCAAAAGCTGGCAGCCAGAGAAACGCTTTGTTACGAGATTTTAATGAATGCTAAATGATGAGGATACACATTTGTGTGTCTAAAACACATAGCCTCAGGGGGCGGGTGTCCTCATAATTCATTACGCATTTCAAAGCCAAGCAAACACGCACGATGTACATAATTGCATGTTCATGCTAGCTGCAGACTTTTCTTCAGTAGCATGACGCAAATGAAATAAACACATTGTGATCTGTGCCATGTAGACCCTCGGGGAGGGATTAAAGGGCGCACAAGTGAAACAAACTCGACGGCTCGACGCCTCCTTGGCATCTCTCTGAGTGCCGAGCCCCAACAGCAGCTTTTAATTTATCTGATGGGCCTGCGGTGGCCTAAAAGCATGAGGGTAGTGCCAATATTATTGATAATTTACATGGAAAAAGATGTTGGTGGGAATCCAGTTATTAATATGAGAGATTCAATGAGAATTAAACCAAAAGCCAGCAGACGTGTAAGAAGTGTCTCAACGTGATGGGGTGAGGCTGGGTAAGCGCTCACAATCGGGACAGGACCTGAACTGCACCTCTGCGCCAATTAACTCATTTAGGTGTAATTGAGAATGATGCTGGCCAATTACAAATCCTGGTGTGTGACCAATCACAAGTAACTCACCTCTGGCTGTTTGACACGGCCCTCCTGGAAAGAGCAGCTGCTCGGGTCATGGGTGCATGTGTGACGGTATTTGCACCAGTGGCACTGGTATGGGCTTCCGACACAGGACAAACACCTGAGACAAAGAGAGGGTGCAGATTTAGATTTAGGTTAGTTCAAGTATTCATGAAAATAGATGGAATGTTACATTACTGCACAACATCAGTTGTACTGTAAATACAAAAGATACTCACGACTTGTGAACACTGCAGTTGTAGAAGACAAAGCTAGTGTTGGCAAAAGCTAGTCCTGTCTCTTTTGATTTGAGGTAGAGCTGGACAATCTGATGGTCACCTAAGAGGCAGGAAGAAAACATTCAAAGTGTTGACATAAGTGGATTGTTCGAAAAGATCAGTGACAATGCACTACAATGTTATTTAGACACTAAAAAGTATAGATAAAAAAAAAAGTGTCAAATTAATTTCAAATTCATATTGGGATTAATTTACCCAATATTTGAGTAAAGTCTGTATACAGTATATACAATGATAATTAACTCATTTAATGAAGAATGGTAGTGCAACACGCAATATACACAAAATAGCCACTTGGCAATTGGTAAAGTCATCATGACATTGCAGCAGCCATTAGAAGATCCGGTTCCCATAGAAACAGTCAGTGTCCTGAAACGTGCACACTCAGGACTCCACATGCGCGTTGGCTGGACCAACCTGAAATAACGCTATTTGAGCATAACAAACAACATTTATGGGTAGGGTCATATCAGCAGTTTTTGAGATTTAGGGCATTTCCCCATTCAAGTAGATAGGAGTTTGTTTTGCCTGCCCATAAACACTGCAAATATAAGCGACTTTCCAAAAGGGACTTTGAATCTATTTCGTATTTTAATTCATAGATTATCACGCTGTTAGCATAGCAACATGCTAATTTAAAACACTAAGTTAAATATAAACTAGCAATTATCTCATTCATACATCAATGACACCAAGCTGTCTTAATTAAGTTATATACTAAGTAATTATATAGTGTGTGGATAATAGAGTAGCGTTTTGAACCTAATGACTAAGGTGACTCTGCCAAAAAATGAGCTAAATCCCTCCCCATGAAAAAATCCCTGAACAAGAGAAGAGACACAGAGTGAGAGAAAGAAACCTGTACGAGTTAATGGAAATGTGGCACAAAAGTGTCCATCTTCAGAGTGTTTTTGTCCGAGCTAATGAAGAAGCTCATGTTTAATTCAACATTCCAGACACGACATCTCCCCTCTCAAAGGAAGATCATACTTTCCCCCCCATCTATTCCAGGCTCTCCTTTTCTCACATATTTCTCTTTAACCTCTATCTTGTTCTCCTAACGCACTCCCCTTTCCTGTCGTGCGATGTTTCTTCAACAAAGACCGAATCATTCATCAATCACTGTAAAGTGTACCTGACAATGAATCTGTCCTAATTAGCTCACCTAAATGTTACCTTGATGGCTGGTATCTCCAGTGTGTGTGTGTGTGTGTGCGTGTGTGCAGGCCCCCTGCCACCCGCTGCAGACTATGTCCGCCTTTAATGAGTCACTCAGGACATACTCGGTTACCATGACACTAAGAAATGAAAGGAAACTGAGGAATATGGGAGAGAGCACGAATAAATGACCTATAACTGCAGGGGTATATGTGTGTGCATACAAAATCCATTAAAATTATCTTGATTCACAACTTTACCGTTATGACGCATCCCAGTTTTACGGGTTAAATACTGTGTGTGCATGATAGCGATGGTGTATGTATCCAGTAGTGTGTGAATGTGTAGAAGTGTGCACCCTCAGGTGTGTAATAGTGTACTTACGCAGTGGTGAGAGAGTGTGTTTTTGCACTGCGGCATTTCAGAGCTCTGGGCCCTTGCAGATTGGGCCGACCTGTAATTTCATGGTGGCCTGACTAGCATGCATCATTATTCACACACCTCACACCCCTGCGTACGTTTCCTTCAACCTCATATCCAGGCAGCTGTGCCACTTACTAGGATCATTTTTCTATCAGAGATGCTCCGAAAGAACACTGTTGCTTCCATTCTTCCATTCAGCCTTGTATTATGTTGCGTCCCCCCCCCCCCCCCCCCCCGCCTCGTTTTTGCCCTGGAAACACAAGCAGAGGAGTATTCCCTTGTTTCTGGAGAAGCGAGCGTCTTCATTATCGTAACGCTGAGACGTTTCCATATTATGAAAAATTACCAGCCTCTAGACAGCTGCCCAGATGCGCGCTCGTTTCAATTATGTCGGGGCAGCCAAGCACGTCTCCGAGAAAAGAGGGGCGAAAGAATGGCATCCACGAGAGTGCGGAAGAGGATGGCAAAATGTTCTCTCTTGAAAAATCTTTTCTCTCTCTTATCTGCTGGAGTGAATGCTGTCAAAACCATTTCAGCCGAGCAGATGGAGTGAAGAGTGTCGTCAGTTCAGGAGATCCAATCCGATCACTTTTCTTGAAAAAATCTCTCAAACCACTGTGCCAATGGAGCCTCAAAATGAAAGACAGAAATGGAGAGAGACAGACGAGAGAGCGGGAGACAGAATGCCAAAACCGCCTCCCTCTTGACGACCTTTATTCGCTCAATTACAAAACACGTCCTGCGGCAAAAGTCAACAGCTGCAGGCAAGATAATGAGCATGTAAACTTCCATCTCTGCTCAGGTGTTTATGTCTATCACTCTCTCCCTTGCTTAGACAACCTTTTCTCCTTCTCTCTGATATAAATCCAGCATCTCTGGAGTCTGGAGCAGATTTCTCAATTCAGCGTCTCCAATTATAAAACTGTCACAGTCTCACTTTCAACACTGCCAAAACAAACGTCAACATTCAGGCCTTTCGCCCCCAATTTCCTCTTAAATTTGACTGGTTAGTGTTCCCACCTTGGTCTACGACAATGCGTGGAACTTCCTTCTCCGCAGGAGAGCTGCAGGTAATGCGGTTCCCTTCGACCAGACCGTCCATCTCCGCCAGGTCCTCAAAGGTGCAGTTGACCCCCGCAGAAAGTTCTGGCACATTATGTGCCTCCAGCACGAGCTGTCAAGGAAAAAGAAAAGTTAGACAGAGGAAAAATAAAAGGCAATAATGGACAAGACAAACTTTGGTAAGCATCGCAAACTGACACACCATCTTTGTGCAGATAATAAACTCATTTTTGCTGCCGCTGCTCCTAAAACTGCTGTAACGTGGATATTTTCTCACGTCTGTGATTTGAAAGGCTCTTGAGGTAGAAGGAAGTCTGCAGACTCCACACATGGGAAATCTCAATCCAGCCGCAGACATCAAGACATCCCCAGAAAACACACGTAGCCGTTCCATAAATATCCCAGCTGACACGTGGCCAACCGCACAGCGAAATCAGGCCATTGAACCAGCGGCCACATATCTCCTAAATTTCCTGGAGGAACATGTCCAGAGACATCAAGAGATTTCGGTCAGCCATCAGTCAGCCCGTACTGACTCTAATGTGTTTCACTGAACTCAAGTGGGTGGGAAATTGAGAGAGAGAAGGAGAGAGTGAGAAAGAGAGAGGGCTCTTTTTTTCTTTATGCTCTGTCCTCTCCATCTCTGTTACCCACAATGCCTTCTGGCTCCCAGCCTTCAAATGAATTTCTAGGCCTGCTCTGAAGCACATGTTGCCTGACACCAGAGTCAGATGAAGTGAAGAGAATAATGAAAAAGAGCAACTGTCATGAGACAAATAACTGCCCCCTTTACACCTGACATTATATTGGCTGGGTTTTATTTTCATTTTTTTTTAATGAAAAGAATTTAAAAATTGTCATTTTTTCTACAATTTGATACATTTGCAAGGAGTAAAAGAATAACCACATACCATCTGGATACAAAACACATGTTTTAATGTCAAAGAATGCACCAAATAAAGAGATTGCAGGGAGATAAAATGAAGTTGTATACGGTTAGCAAGACAGCAAATCTGTCAATTTGACTCTGTTGGGGGTCAGTTTGGGAAAGCGTGTAGTAATGCTCTGTGAGGGCATCAAGGGAGGTGAAGTGGATAAAATCGGAATATCCACACTAATAGGAAGCCGCAGCCTTGCATAGAGTGGCCCTGCACCCAGCATTACATTGGTGATATGGCCTGAAACACCCTTTACTCAACCGAACGGCTGACCGGGGCTGTTTTTAGATTGCTGTTTAATGAAAAGGCAGGGACATGTTGCAGACACTTTTCCCATCTCTCCCCCTCTCTCGCTGTTTTCCGCTTTCCCATTAAAGTTCAGGATGCACCGGTGGATGGCGGCGCCACTCTGGGATTTAATTTATTTTTCCTTTTAGAGAGAGATGCAGAGAGAATCTCTTCAATTACATTTCAAGCAGCGGCGAACAAACCCTCGCTGGCCATGATAAATATGAAAATCATCTCTCTCTGAGAGGGACCCTACAAACAAACAAAAAAAAAGGCCTCTTGCAGCAGAGGGTACGACACAAGGAATATGGTGTTTTTGATTACCTCCTACCTCAACAGAAGAATGCATCAAGATGTAACAAACTTCAGATGCTGATGCGGGTTTCTAATTACGCTTCAAGATTTGCTAGTGGAGGGAAACAGAGCTGTCGATGTACCCCCGGAGACCCCGAGAGCTATGAGATTCTACCTATTGTACCCCGTGTTGTACTTTAAAATCCCATGGATAAAATCAATCTACATTTAAATGAATTCTGAGAGCACCTATAGCACATCCAGCCATGACTGATGTTTTCTTTAAACAACTAGTTTAGAAGTGTAATCCCCCTTCAGGATAATGTTAAAGCTGTGCTATGCTCTGCTTATTGAAGCCTTTGTATTTCTAAAAGAAACTTATTTTGGTAAATGCACTCAGTAATATGAACAAGAGCAGCTAAAATAAATGAATACATTCCTTGTAGGATGAGCTTTACTGTGGTACTGCTGCTTTTACTGCTGGGTGAATGTCCAGGAAGAGCTTATGGATAAAATGTGAAACAACATGAAATAATCGAAAAAGAAAAATGTTTTCCTTTTGATGAGAAACTTATTTCAATCCCCAAATTCTCCCAGCAGAACGAACAAAGAAGCTTTGTGCTTATCTCCTCAAACAAATATTCAATAATGAAAAAGGTCAAGAAACAGCATGAATGCCTGTAGTTTATTTCTGTGTACACTTTGCAATTTATTGCATTGTAGACGTGTTGTTTTCCTCCCAGTAATTCCAGTTTGAAGGAAAAGGTCAATCTGACACTGTCTGTGTAAAATCCTAACCAGTCTTTTCATAACACACCCACACACACACACCTAAATAATATATTCATATGTAAAAAAAATACTGTAGTAACTGTTATAAGACTTTAAATATCTCTCTCTCTCTCTCTCTCTCTCTCTCTCTCTCTCTATATATATATATATATATATATATATATATATACAGTATATATATATACTTAGTATGATTCATAAGCGTTTTTTCTCATGGGGATCAAAACTGGACAAGGATTTCGGATATTGCCATCTTTTTGGGGCCATTTTTTCCTCCTTACACACACACACACACACACACACACACACGCACACACTAAAATCACTTGGACTAATTCAACAAGCTGGTCTAAGCTGGTCGAAGATTGTGAAAATTGAGCTCATTATTTGAAGATTAAAGCCTTAGTACTCCCAGAACACACCTGGACAGTTTATATAAGGACTTCTTGTGAAATGGGAATCTGGCGCTATGATCACATTAACTCTTCATCGACTCAACAGCTACTACTGAATATCCTGACATCTGCTTTTGACCACTTGCCTAGATACAATCAACATTAATGCTCTAATTGCAAGGGTTTTTGTATGGAAAAAAAAAACACTGCTGTGTAAATAATTTAGTGTATCTAAACATCCTAGGTACTGATAAAGCATAATTTTGTACAGTAGCACACACATACCTAGCGTACATGCTAGGCAGTTTATTAGCTCTTATACAGCCTAGTAGTAGGTTTTGAATTTGGGCCCAGAATACAGATCCTGAATCAGCTGAAAGGCAGGCTTTTCTAGTGGAGACGTTAATCTGATATAAAGGCTCTGAGGAGGTGCTGGATTACATGAGGATAAGGTCTGAAACCATGGCCTGCTTTGATAGATTTTACACACACACTGAACGACTGCTAGAGTCAGCACAGCTAGGATCAGCCAAAAATAAACAAGTAAATAAACACCAATAAAAAAAATCACTGTCTTGACAAAGGATAAGGGCACGCACAGTAGTGACTGACATGAGGAACGACACAAGGTAACGAGTCAATACGACACCTTAACTGTTTACATGTACAGCAATATTCTGATAATATTCCGAATTGGCTCACTTTCGGGTCCTGTAAACACATTACCAAATTAAACCAATTTTCTGGTTACTAGAAATGGATTTATCCAAACTTTGTGTTGTGTACCTGATTTACAAATTCAGATTTGCGCATGTCCAAACATAGGTAATTCTGGGTGATATTTGGCATAGTTAGTTGTAAAAAGCTGAGCTTCAAAGAAACATTTATGGAGTGAGGAGGAAACTCTTTTCTGGCAAACAATAAAAGAACAGTCTCATGTCCTACATTTAGTAATTAATCAAGCTCTTGCGTGTTATTAAGGACATGACTAAAAATTAATGAGTTTATTAAATTACTGCCTGCAGTATAATTTTATTAGAAATGGTCAAATTGCATTTCATTGAATATGAAGTGACAATAAATGTTTTGTGTTTTTATATTTTAGACATACGAATACGAGTGAATGTATGCATATTTTAAAATAAAATATTATTACATCTCAATAGTTTAAATTGATCACTTAACTACAGTACATTATAATTTCTATTTCTGTACACCCATAAAACACTTTTAATCTTCAATTATTTAATTACTTTACATAAAAAGACCAATAACACCTGCTCCCCCACACACATTTTTTCTTGCTGTGGAGCATGAAAGTTTAACCCGAATATGTATTTTTATTCAGAAAATGATATGCATATAACCGGTCAGTGTTAGATCTCATAAGGTACTGTAGAGCACCCATACAACTAATAAGCTTTGTCTCGTGCGTCCTAAGAGCCTAGACCTAAAAGTCACAGAAATAACATGGCACGTATGATACGGTCAAACTGTATGACGCATCTTCATAAACCCATCAGTGCAACAAGCAGATCCATAAAGGCAGAACTTGCATGATCACATTAATGATGGGGCCAGAAAAGCAATGGGCTCCATAACTGAATTAGTGAAGGCTAATGTCAATATGTCCAGCGTTTGGGTTTATCCTCAGAAACACTTAAATGAGGTTTAGCATTTCCTCAGTATACCTTAAGGATATTTCATGGTGTGATTACACAAAAGGAACGAAGGTGAGAATTTATTATTAGCGCTCACCATGACACTGTATTGGGACACAGAGATGTTGTTGGGATGAACGCTGAGTCTCACACACTGTTTTATATCAGAGGCGAAACGGCGAGGCTCGGATGACCGCTCACACTTTTCCTTCCTGGTGCACCTAGAAAAAAAAAAGATGAAAAGAAATACGTGAGCACCTGAGGAGGGGAGAAAGGCAGCATGTGAAAGGAAGACAAAGCATTTGATAGAATGGGGGGAAATAAAAACAGCTGCACAAATGCATCCAACCATCTCCCATCTGTGACCAGCGCAGCATGAAGGAAATGGAACACAAGCTTGATTACTAGTCCGAATCCATGCATTATATTTCTGTTTCATATTTCAGGAGAGAGAGAGAGAGGTGGGACAGAGATAGAAAAAGACCAGTGGTTGTGGTGACTCTATCCTGTTTCTGCTCTCTCGACAGTCCTAAAACAACAGCGACACTATTTGTGGAAGCAGAGCAGGCCCAAAGGGCCGAGAGACAAGCCAGCTTTGTGTTCTACCCTTAATGAAGCGTATTCATCGCTCCCGGGTTCTGCAGGTGGGGAGGATCAGAGCTCAGAGACCCCTCCCCACCCTTTAGATTCAAACACCATCCACTCTGATCTGTTCACAAAACTGGGTCACAGAGCCGATGAGGAGACCACCCTAACACTGTGACATCTAATCCAGACACATCAGATTACAGGCCCAAGGTTAAGCACGTTTCAGACCGTTTTACACTTGCGATTTTTAGTTGTGACTGCTTGAATTGCAGGGTTACGTACCTGTGCTAAGAACCCAGATACCATAAGTGGTGGACAAACATGAATATTGTCCTGGACCCTGTGACAATTCACCACTTAAAAAATATTTATTAACCACATATAAAAGCGCACTGAGCCAAACATTTAAAATTTTCTAGGATTTAACATGAGAACACTAAACTTGTATAAAAGTAAACAGATGTCCAAATTATTAGACAAAACTGAATTAGAAAATAGAATAGTTTAATAAAAAAATACTTTCTTTAATACCATTCTTTAAATGAGTAACACTTTACAAGGTTTCATTAGTTTCAACATTAATTAACTGCTTTAGTTAACATGAACTAAGAACAATACTTCTACAGCATCTTAGTTAATTTCAACATTTACTAATACATTTTTGAAATCAAAATTATACTTGTAAACATTATTTAATGCACTGTGAACAAGAACAAACAATGAACAACTGTATTTTTATTGACTAACGTAGACTAATAAATAATGCATTGCTCATTTTTAGTTCACGTTAGTTAATAAATTCTCTGGCTGTAATGATGCATGCTTGTAATCATACATAAGGTATAACCACATATGAAAACATGCTATTGAGTCTTACATTTAAACATTTCACAGTTGTACCTGCTCGTATAGTACAAGAGTGTGTAAAACAGCCTGCTCTGTCTGGGTTTTCAGCCTGTCATTCCCCTCACTAATCCAGATTGGCTTTATTCAAATCTGTGAAGCAATTAACTACGAATCCTTATAAGAGGGAAATAAGTTTATAACGGATGACAGTTGTGACAGGGTTTTCTCCTGCAGAAAATGAGGGAGGAGAGAGAGAGGTAGGACAGTGGATGAATTGAAAAGTTAAGAAGCCTAACTTGGAAAACTCAGAGAACAGAATGGGAATAATCTGCTGGTGAAAGAAAGAGGAAACGAAAGAGATTTAAATGGCAACAATCATCCTCTTTCTCTGTGCCTCTGTGCTAAGCAGGTCTAAGATGCATTTAATCAGAATGGCCTCCTTTGTAGCTCCAATCACACAGCCTGAATCCCTTTCTGCCGCTGATTTAATAAGCATGCTGTGTACAGCGTGTTCAAACACACACACACACACTTATGCTAGGTGGATCTACGGGTGGTGTGGAGCATTCTCAGAGTACTGTGGGAGAGAGACAAACCGCTCATGCGTCTCTGGATGATTTGGGGAGGGTGTGCATCCTGCAGTTAGACGCACCGGTCAAAGGCTTTTGATAAAACATCACATACAGTGACAGTCTCTCAAGCCTCTCTTGGTCCGCAACTATAATGCAAGACTTCAGGAAAGTACGGGGGCAGTGAAGCCTGTTTAAACACAGGCATAATCTTTCTCACCAATAGGGGGCATATGAGGGTTGTCTGTATATAATTTCGAGATTACAGGGACTTTGACATGTTGTGGCTGAAACAAGTCAGCACTGCTTGTAAAAACGGTAATATTTCTTATTTAAAAGGGTTATAAATGAGATGCCTGCCTATGGCCTGAAAGCACTGTAAAAACATTTATGAGCCTTCATTTATGAGATTGTGTAATACAGGCCTGGAGACAAGTGAGAGTGGTATGGATAGCAGTGTGTGTGTGTATTTTATTTCTTTAATAAATGAAGAAAAAAAAAATCACTGGCTAAACAATGACGCCTAAACTTACTTTCAATTTCCTATTTCCTTTATAGTGAACAATATGCTAATAATAATAATAATAATAATATATATTCATATTCAAGTTTATAAAAATTAAATATGCTGGGTTGATCAAAATGAACTAATTTTTTTCGTGTCGTTTGGTTCATTCAACGAACGAAATGAATGAGTTGACTTGGGAAAAGATTTGTTCATTTTGATGAACGAGTTTGAACAGGAGAGTCACGAATGCGCATCACAGAATAGAGCAAGGCGACCATTTCATAAAACGTAAATTTTTTTTTTTTTTTTTTTTTAAATGAGCGATCGTTTCGCTTGATAAGACCCTTATTCATCGTCTGAAATCCTTTAAAGCCCTTTCAACAGTTTGCATTTTGCACTGAAACTGTCTTTTGGAACTTGAACCATTTGGTTCCCATTGAAGTCCATTATATGGAGAAAAATCCTGGAATGTTTTCATCAAAAACCTTAATTTCTTTTCGACTGAAGAAAGAAAGACATGGACATCTTGAATGACATGGGGGTGAGTAAATTATCAGCAAAAGTTTTTTTTTTTTTACTCCTTTAACCCAACTTTGGGTCAAATATGGACAAACCCAAATGTTGGGTTAAAAACATAATTAAAAAAATGTGACCCAATGGCTAGGTTTGTCCACATTTGACCCAAAATTGGGTTGAAACAACCCAGCATTTTTTAGAGTGTATAAATATAAATTCATAATATATTATTACTACAGTTTATTATACAAGTTGCTTTTATAATATAAAAGTAAATTAGGCCTAATACAATATAATATTGCATCAAATAAATTGGTGATCTCCTTGATAAGTGAGCCTGCGCACATCTGTCAACACGGCAGGTTTGTTTTAATACCTTATCATTAGTAAAGTAAACTGCTCTATTAGAAGACTAAGCAGTAATTTGTTTCCCTCGTTATGTAAATGCTGCCCAAACATGGAGAAATGCGGTACTTTGATGAATAATGAACAGGAATGAAATCGCATCAAAGCGATCAGACAGACAGGAGCGCAGAAGTGGGCATGCAAAACACTAAAGACGTCCTCCTGGCATCTCGCCTGCCCTCTTCTCTTCCTGTTCCCCTCGTGACCCTCCATTCACTCTGCTCTCTGACACACTGCCCTAAATACCATTACATCTCTCATGCCAGCAGAACAGGAAATAAACAATTAAATAAACGCACATCAATAAATTACTGAAAACATGTCGTTTTAGTGCATTAAATTGCCAGCTTTGAGTTTTGATCGAGGGAAAGACTTGTAGCGAGCTTGCTACGCCACCCCTCACATCAAACCCACAGACAGAGAGAGAGACAGACTACTACAGATGTCTTTAGAAGAAAGCAGCTAACAGAGTCAGCCAGAAGCAGCTAAATTAATAAATTCTGCTAAAATAATAAATCCCTCAAGGAGTTTTACTCAACAGAGTTTTAGATTATTACTGTAGATGTGATCAGTATAAATAACAGAATAAACATCAGAATCAAATTCCTACCTTTTACAATAACCTTAGTATTGACAGTGTGGTTTTAAACGCTACCCGTAAGCAGATTACTAGACTGTTTAAAAATAAAACTTTTATAGTGAAATACCTAGTTTTCCACCAATTCAACTCCCAATGTCTCACTGAATTTCCATTATGCATAAAATAAAATTCACAGTACTTTATTGCAACTGAGTTCAGGGAACTCTAGCCAGGTCATGCTCTACATGCCATATCAACATTATTTATGGAGGAGTCGATGCATATTTGAATATGCACTTAAATACACATTCATCCTAACGTTAATCAAGCCTCCCATTGGGATGGCTTCCCAATGCTTAAGAGCAACCAAACGGATGAGGAACGTGAAGCGGACATTGAAACCCCATCCAAGTTGCAGTAGAAAATGAGATACTTTTAAAATGCAGTGTGACACCCAGAGAGAAAGGGAGCTAGGGAGAGCGTTGACAAAAGAAGGAGCAGCCACACTGACAAATGGCAGGTTTAAATTTAGAGTCAGCGCTGTGAGCCAGACCCTCAGAGCCCCCTGTGAGAGAAGAGCAAGTCGGTCACCATCGTTATGGAGAGAGCAAAGAAGAGGGATGGAAGGAAAGAGGGAGGCATGAAGCAGAGAAAAGGAAGGAGGGGAGAAGACAGAGGAAGAGACTCGTGCAGAGTCATTACGCAGCCCAGTGGCTCTGACCCGATTATTCCCAGCAGAGACCTTGGGGCCACTGCCCCCCACTGGGCCACAAACCTCAGCTGAGTGGAAAATTAGTGTGGAGCACCCAGGGAACGACCCCAACACACAAGACATACTGAAACACACAAACACACGCTTGCACAAAAACACCATTTCTAAAAATATATATCATTCAATATCATACCGGGATCGGTGGTATGTCTCGCAATACAGTTTATACTGTATATTAAAACATTATAATGATCATTTTGGTAACACAGTGAATTTTCCAAATTAAAGGCACAGTACTTTGCCTCATGTTTTTTTTATGTGGAACTTGATGGATGCAAACCAAGAGTCATGAAAAAAAATGAACAAGTCTGTCAGCACGGAATAAATTATGACATAATGTGAATTCTCAGTTTAAAACGAAAGACTCAAAACAGATGTAAGAGTCAATTCGACATGCCTTTTGTATATTGGAAGATTTACATGTTTTTGATGATTAT